AGTTTCTTAAAAATGTTGTTATAGTTCAGGGCCATAGCAACCAGGGGGATTGGGGGCTTTGGCTCCCACCAAATTTTTACCAATTTTTACAGGGTTTTATTTTAGCAAAATACAATAAAGAAATACAAGAAAGAAAAAATTATCAAAGTAAGGAAGAATATAACTTTCATAAAACCCTGATGAAAGAATTCTTCTTTAAAGTTGTACGATGATGATAATTTCCCTTTATCATGGGGATAGAATTTCATTTTAAATTGGAAATGTGGTGAGTCCAACAAAATAAAATATAAAAATAAAAATGTACAAATAAAAAAGAATTTAATTTAAAACAAAGCAATTGCTTTCTTTTGCAAAAATTGGTTGGAAGTACACACAGGAAAAGAAAGGTAAAACGAGTCCAATAGGTTCACTCGGCAAAACAACTCCACACTTCTTGCCTCGAACTCCAATACAACACTCACCGTCCTGAAGGACAATCTCAACACCTGTTAATGAGAGTACCATTTTTTTATACACCTGACCCAGCCAACATGCAGCAAAAGAGCGCCCAGAACCAGCCAATAAAAATGGCTACAAGCGACAACACCACCACCATAAGTGCTGTCAGATTCACCATCCATTCAAGGCTCAGCGATTTGCCATCTTCACACTCCCTTGCAAAACATAAACCCAACTCTGGCCCTTTTGGGATGCCGAAATAAGTCACTGCTACACTTTTCTTTAAAATTTTTATCTCTGGAAATCTTAAATGTTCTTGCCACTAACCATGTTGGCAGCTTTTGATAACTTATGGCTAAATTCTAAATTTTTGACAACCCACTGCCAAATATTTGTCTCTGCTATGGCCATGTAGCCCTGCATTTGGGTATGATCAAAAAAAGTAAAAGAGAAAATCATTAAAAAAACCTTGGTCACCCCTGTTTACACAAGATAAAAAAATTACAATTAATAGAACTGTTCATCTACTCAGGAGTATATTATTACAATAAAGAAAGTAAAAACAATGTACAGGGTGTTCCAAAAGTCACACAACAATTGGCAGAAAATGTACACTTGTGAAATAGCAACCAGGGAAAATTTGCATGACATCATCTTTCATAATTCGACCAATAAAATTTCTTAATAATATATTGTCACATATAGTAATTTTTTTATTTGGTAAATAAATATAAAATTTACAAAGTTATCAGTGGTAATGTGTCTTTTGGAACACTGTGTACACAGTAAGTATTACTTAACATCAGAAATTGTGCAAACAGAACAAAGATATTTATTGCCTACCTTTTTAGAATAATGAGTTCATAAGGGAATCTATTTATGGAAGATTGAGAGGGTGTAAATTTGGCCTTGTAAAAATATTCAACTCATTCACAAAGAAAAAGAAAGGAAAAGAAGAAAGGAGATAAAGTGTAAATCTAAAATTTTGATATTTCATTAAGTGTTGAAGTGTTTTGTAAAAATTGTTTCATTTTTTTTTGTTGTCCAGTTTCTTCTTATGAAGAGAGTTTTTTGCACAGCAGGAAGTATACTGTTATCTACTGTCTTCCTGGTTACTCTTCTATTGTTTCTGCTCTTTCATCATGTTTTCTGTTTTCTCTTTCACACCCAGTAACTCCTTGTGTCTTAGTGGCTTTACTGCCTTGCATGGGGTGAATATAATTAAGAAAGAAAGACTAAGCATGGGAAGAGTTCTTAATGGCTCCTTTTTCTACTTTGACTGTTTCCCTGACTGTTACTCAGACTAACGACTTGATACATTGTTCTTTTATTTATACCAGGTGCACAAACGTAGTAGTAGACTCATGAATACAAGCAAATATTTCACAGAGATAGGCTTGGCTGAATTTGAATGCATATTACTTGAAGAATATAAGATTCTAATGACTTAATGACTATATAAGTGTAAAAGCTGAAACTTTGCAGATTAATAATTTGCAATATGTTTTAAATGCTGTGTAGTTTTTATCTTTCTCCATAAATTATAAGTTAATTCAATTTTAAGTTGGTATCCAGTCAGTAGTGACCTCATTAATAATTTTCATTAAAACTAAAAGGTTTTATTTTGTTTGAAATAATTTGAATCTAGTTCATTTGTTTTACTAAATCTTAATGCATATAGATTTTAAAAGTTTTTCTTCACAAGCATTATATACTAAAAAGAAAGACAATGTATTTATTCATTTAAATCTTTGCTATGTTTTTGAGTTTCTAACTACACTCAGATCTTTTCCTTATTTTCACTATTTTCCTGGGCAAAGTTAAAAGGATTTTTTCCTTGGGAGGGAATAGGAAAAGAGAGAATGTTACCTTTCTCATCCTGATTATAGAAAAAGTTGCATACAAAAACAAACGACTCTAAACTACTATGTGAAATTTGAAGGGAACTAACATTTATTACCATAGACATTAAAACAACATAAAAAAAATACAATTTTTACAAAAACTTGCACAGAAATTTCCTTTTTTTGTGCACCTTTTTTGTAACAAGGCAAGATACCATATTAAAATATATAAAGGCTCTTAAAAAGATTTACAATACAATTTTCAAATAATGGGAAAAACCTTGATAAGATAATACAAAAACTTCAAATAGCTATTTAAAAAAGGTGTATCCAACTAATAGAAAGATGAAAAAACAAAAAGGGGTTCTGGTAAATCCACTTGTATCATTGGGAGTTTTAACAATTTTTTTCTTCTTTACATTCACAGGTTTCAATTTTTTTCCCCTGTTTGCTTCTGTGAAAAACAGCCCAGCTCATACACAGGTGACAGCCAAAAATAACTTTTCCTTCTGGAATCTTATTTTTCTGCCTTCAGGATGAAGTTTTCATGTCTTTTGATTTTCTCAAAATTTTCAGTCTTTCTGGTTAAAAATTATTACTACCTTCTGGCTGAAAATTATATTACCTTCTGAATTATCTGCTCACCCGTCTTAGATCTTAACTTTTACATGGACAGTTAAATTATTTTCAGTAGTTCTTTTAGAGCCAGTTCAAAATTTAGTAACTTTTAATTTAACACCTCAACAAATTTAATTTTTTATAAACTGTCTGGCTTTCTTTTAAAAATACACTTCTCCCAAAAAGTAAGTGTAAAGAAAGACAAACCTAGACTATTATAATATCTATTTATAATTATCTATCCTTCTTATACATCATTATTTTTATTTATTTTATATTACTAAAATTTTTTTATAAAGTGAGAGAAAAGAAAGTTCAATTATTTTTATTGCCGTTTATTGCAAAACTTCTTCCATCAACACTCAGTGTACACACTCTCAAGGTTGCAGAGAAGCAATCGTTTGGGGGAAAAGATTTTAATGAAATACTGAGAGAATAAGTAATTAAATTGTAAAAAGTTGGAAAGTATGGGACAATATTGTCCAAGACGGAGAATTATTGTAAAAAATGAATGAAATATTTTTTTCATACAAAATTCAATGTAAATAAACATTATTTTTGTAATTTTGATTTACTTTTTTTCTGATCTGAACAAAACTTTCTTAATTTTTCAACAAATATAAATGAACATTTTTCTATTAAAATAAATGATGACGACGATGATGATGATAATAATGATGCTAAAGTTTAGTTAGCATCATTATTATCATCTAAATTCGGTTTAGCAGCTAAACCGAATTTAGGAAAATTAGGTAACGAGAAATTCGGTCATTTTGACAAGGTAGAAAAATTCAGTAACTTAAACTATGAAATAAAAGTCGATTGAAAATTGATTTTAGGGCCGTTCTGGAATGAGGATTTGGAGCTAACCCCACTCCCCTATATTTTTAAATAATTAATTGTGAGGGTCCAGATAATTAAAAAACCTCACTACAACAATACCACTCAATACCAGGGTCGTACTTTACAGAAGGGGGCTTAAGGAGCTAGGCGCCCTTCCCCAATATTTTTTTTAAAGTGGGGGCCTAAAACCCCACTACAACAATACCAGGGCAGTACTTTCTGGAAGGGGCTAGCCCCTCCCTCTATACGTCTAAAAATAAGTATCGAGGGTTCCAGTCCAAAGTAAATAAGTATCGAGGGTTCCAGTCCAAAGTAATCCTCACTGCAACAATTCCAGAGCCGTTTGTTTCTCCAATATTTTTTAAATAAATACTGTATTTAATTACTACTCTGTTGTTTTCAAACAAATAAAATCGATTTTCATTTATTTAAGTTCAAAAGTTAAGAAGACTAAGTTATCTTCTTTTCAAATTATAAAAAAGTCGTAAAATTTCAGTTTTACTTTTAACTTTTACTAAGTTATTTCTTTTTAAAGAAGCAAAAAGATAGTATCATTTCTATTTCAAAAATATAGCGGAGTGGTCTTAGCTCCCAAACCCTCATTCGAGAAAGACCCTTAAATCAATTTTCAATCGACTTTTAGTTTTTTTAGTTACCGAATTTTCCTCCCTTGTCAAAATTACCGAATTTTCCGGGCACTAGTAACCTAACCAGACATCATTATCATCAGCAACAGCCAAAACAACAGCATTATTTGTTGTTGTTGTTGTTATTAAAGTTTGATACTCATTTCAGCGATACTTGCATTCAATGAAATAGTTGTTTTTTTTTAATTTTATTATGTCGATAATAATTTTTAAAAATTCTCGTGTATTCATTTTTTTTTTCTTTCTCCCTGGGTAGGGTAGGTTTTTAAACTCTGCTTGCTTGCTACTTCCACTACAACTGTTATTGCTAAATATTTTCTTTAAATACGCAATAAATACACCGCAATAATCATCTTGCAGAGGATTTAATAAAAGTGAGAATACATTGAGCTAATATAATTTTAGAAGTTTTTTTTTTAAGGAAAAAATAAGTAAAATTATGAAAGCGTTTAATTTTGTCAAGTAGTAAGGATGTGATGCGCGTGCGCACTTAGAAGCGAAGCCGCCATTAGAATTGTGGATAGGTCACTTGGTTAGCACAGTGGGTAAAGAAACAAGGATAAGAAAGGGGAGAAAAACGGAAAAAAAAGCTGTGCCGTGGCCTGCAAATATGTCGTACAACTACGTGGTAACCGCTCACAAACCTACAGCGGTCAATGGCTGTGTGACCGGTAAGGAAGAAAAGAACAAAAAAACGTGTTTTTCTTTCCATCTGTTTTATTTTTGTAAATAACATATCAATCATCAATCACTAAGGAAAATATGAACTGGCTTCTTTACACATTTTTTTTTTATGGAGAGGGCTCTTGAACTTTCGAATGCCCTGTAATGGCAGTCTTTAATTTTACATTTAATAGATATATAAGACAATTGATATTTAGAGATTTTTTTCCAGTTTAATTTAGTTGTCGGTATTTATTTTTTTTTTTTTTTAGAAATAGACTGTTTTGGCGGTAATACCTCATTTATCTTATTACCTCCCTTGATGATGAAACGTTAGAATGTTTGTCAATACGGATGGATATATGCATATGTTTAAACTTTAAAGTAGCACATTTGAAATAAAATCGTATAATGTGATCAATCGATTGACTTAAGGATTAGACTTACTTTACTTACAATTAAAAAAAAGTAAATAATCAAGAGATAAGCTACCTGTTAACGTAACTGCAGCGACTAACAGGAATCTAGAAAGTACTTTTTTTTTAAAAGTTTTATTCACTTTTCAAACTAGTTAAAAAATAATCTTGGTTTTTAATACAACATCGCGGGCGATGTTTTCTGATCTTTACTTTGGGATTGAGTCTCTTAGCATTTTTTTTATTTATCATTTTTTTTCTTCACAAATCAAGAAAATTTATAATTTAAAAATAAAATAAATAGACTACTTTTGAAGACCACGCGATGCAATACCCTGCACCAGTGAAAGGCTGCAGAATATATCGGCTGAAACTTTAATAACAGTGCACGGATCCAGACTAGTCTACTTTTTTAAAAATATATGATGAGAATGAGGTGGGGACTTAATTGAAGTTGAGAAAACGGTTAAAGAATAAAATTTAAAAAAAATCTTCCTCTAAAAAGTACTTATCGAAGAAAAATGTTTTTTTTTCTACTATGAATTGTGATCTGAATTTGCTGTCTGATTATTCCATTTTTAATTTAGTTTTAGAATCATTAATTTTAACTTGTTACTATTTTTTTCTTCACTAAAAATAAAACGAAGGCGATTGATAATGAAATTATTTAAGTTTATATTGCAGTTTGCTTGATTACTGAGTCTTTCTCCTATTCAATAGGGCTGATTAGTGCAAGTCGGATATTGTGGTCCGTAATGAAATGTGTATGACATCTCAAGAAATTACAAAAAACAAGTCCCGTCAGTCCGCATTTAACTTTTTCACATGTTTGTTTAATAAAATAATTTGTTATTTCAATATGTCTGTTTCTCGTTATTCCAAATTTGTATGCAACGTCACACAATTCAGCACGGACCGCAGTACTTAACTTGTTCGCGACTTTTAAAAAGTAGTTTGTTTTTTCTTTGAAGTAAAAATTTCTTACTGTTGTTCAATGTTTATGCCCGTGGTACTTTTGCAGGTCATTGTTAGTGAGTTCTATCATTAGTGAGAGTATTGTTATTGTCTTGTGCCAGGCAAATCTAATACGACAACGCCCATAAAGATCAAATAACCGCGACTGCAGAAGAGTGTCAATATTTTTGGATCTTTTAAGCTTCCATATTGAAGGGAAACAACCGGTATCAGTTGTTCATGAAAATAAACACCTTTTTCTTTTTTTCTCTAAAAAAAGCATTGTCGCCAAATGTAGTTTTGGTTTCATTTTTCCCCATTATGTTGACTAAACAATTGCAATAATTTCGTGTAGTTTGTAGTTGAAAAAGAAAGAAAAAATATTTGTATCCGAAACCGAATTACTGGAAAAAATATTGAGACATAAGAAGCTGAAGCGAAATCAATCGTCTTTCTTTTTCAAACTTTTTTTTTTAAATAATGATTTTTTTAATGAATTAAAATTGAGCCAGTAAAAGAATTTATATTTTTTTCACTTTTTAGTGTTATCAGTTACATAGTTATCGATTTGTGACTTGTCTAAGTCTTACAACATACAATTTACCTTGTTTTTGTTTTCTTTTTCTTTTTGTGTACGAACCAAGCTATAAAAAAGTTATGAAAATAATGATTTTGGTTGTAGATAAATAAACTTGATGTTACAATTAGCGCTCATGCTAGTTTTAATCCAGTATTTTTCTTTATTTTATTTCACGTTTTAGTGACTAGTTTGAAACACAGAAAAAAGGTAATAATTACTTTTTTTCTGAAATGTAATTTTTTAAGCAGTAGATATTTTAAAATGTAGAATGTGATTCACTGGTGTTAAATTTGCAAAGGAATTTCTGTGATGTCCACGTTAGAAAATCATCGATATTCTTCGTTGTACTTTTTTACAATTTTATCTCAGTATTTGTTATTTAAAAAATCTTAATTAATTTATTAAAACATTATTTTCAAATGGGCATTCTAGGTTTTTTTTAATTTATTTTTTAACTTTTTAAAAGATCAAAGTGTGAACTGTTTTGAAATTTAATTGATCGGAATTGTTACAACAAAATTGATGACAGAGAAGAAGTTCATATTTTGTTCTTGAACTTTGGAAATAAAACCTTTTTAAGAACAAAATTCTTTACTGGATTCGGGTAAAACTAGTTGACATGATAATATTGATAAGTATTTATTTAATTTTGTGAAAACTGGATTTATAATTTTTGCATTTCGTACATTTGAATTTAAAAAAGATTATCACAATTTCTGAGAATTTCGATTAACGATAAATAAGAAATTTCTTTTTTATGCTTGTTAGCTTTCACAATGTATTGTGCATGCACTTGAGTTCATGCCTGTGTGTTTGTATATAATATGGAATGGAGTTTTAGTAAATGAAATCATTCTCTAGAGAGAGTTTTAAAAATTAAAATAGTTTCTGATCCTCTGTCTGTTTTTCCCCCTAAATATTTTGGCGTGGAGTGGGATATTGCAAGAAAAGTAACTGGAAAACTATTTTCTTAAAAAATTGAAGAAAAATGTTATTGATTGAGCATATATTTTAATTAAGCCCATTAAATGAAAATGCATATTTAAGTGAACATATCTTCTTTTTACTCATTTCAACAAACATTGAATTTAAAAAACCGTTTCATGTGCAAAAAGAAAAGTTGCATCTAATTCTTGAATCATTGGTTTATATATCAATGTACTTTCAGTTTAGAAAAAAAAATTAATATTTTAAAAATGGAAGGTAAAAAAACAATGTAATTTGCTAACATTTCTACCAGAAAACTTTTTTATTAACTAATCAAATGGTACAACTTTAATTTACTCCAAATCAAATATTAGTTGATTATTCATAATTTTGTGTGTAAATATTAAAAGCAATACTGGCATGGTATCATGTAGTGATGTTTTTCTTTTTAATAACGCATAAGGACTTCAGTAAGATTTTGATTTAATTCCCTTATATTTAAAGTTATGTAATTGTTTATAAGAGAACACATGATAATACAGTATTTGTAAACATGGGGTTGAAGCTTTCTCTTATTTTTGTGTCCATAGATATTAAAAACAGTTTGACAATGTGAACCACCAATTAAATTAATCAGGTAACAACAATTCACTTAATATATATTTGTATACAACACAATAGTCCTTAATTAAATTAATCCATTTCTACTAGCAACATGTTACTCCACAGAGATTAGAAGCCTACTGCTTCATACACACAGTTCCAATTTTTTTGTATGCTTGTTTCTTTCCCAGAACCTAAAGACACTGTCATTTAGGCATTTGTGCCTTTTCCTGGCTGCTGCAAATACATGCAGGATATTCTTGGCCTTTTTTTTTTTTTTTTTTTTTTTTTTTTTGATACACTCCCTCTTGGTCTTTTGACCCTAACACTAACAGCTCCGTGGCGGTCTTTCTTGTCAGCTACTTCTTAAAACAAAGGTGCAGGAGACATTTTTACTATCTGGGCTATATCTGCTGCTTCTGAGTTATTGTTATCACTGTTCAATTGATCATTATTAACCAAATCATTGTCATTAGCTTCTGATTAGGTGCTATTATTTGTTGAAATGATCAGATTCATTACCATTTAGTGGCAGGTATATTTTGTCTTCAACTTACTGCAGACATTCTTGTACCATCATCCATTGATTTTCACCAGTGGAAAAGGGGGCAAAGGTCTTTGACAATGACATGATGTGGTACTTTATAAACTAGATCCACTTGAGGACTTATAATGCCACTTACTTCACTTGTCTGAAGCCTGATTGTACATTTGTTTGGGGTCATTTTTAATAGCACTTATAAGCTTTGTGCTGCAGCTTGGATCTTGGCAGCAGTATTCTGTCAATACTTTTCACTAAGACCTTGTATTAGTGGAGAGTATTAACAGGAGTGGTTATGCTGTGTACACCATCCTTGGGTGTCATGTACTAATATACAGCTTATTCAGCAGAGCACCACTTTCTGGCAGCAATTGTCTTCACACTTCTGTGGGACTGTTCTATAATGCCATTTCTGGAAGGTGCATATATGCATCAGAACCACAAGTGAACACACCCTTCCTCTGTGAAAGTTCCAAATGTCATTCTGCTAAATGCCATGTAATTGTCTAAGAGAATTTCATCTGGAGGCTCCTTGAAGAATACATTATGCTATAAGAATCTCATCAGGCTAATGGTTGCCAAATAGTAAATCGCGTAGGCTCGCAGTCTATTAGGTCTAAATGGTGGGCAAGTTTTTAGTTATGTTTATTGCCACTCTGTGCCATACACTATCCACCATTAACTTCCTTTCTGCCACTGGATCATTGCCTCGACTGGCATTCTGAGCAGGTTTTAATAACTAAGCTGGCAACTTCTTTGGATGTGGACAGAGTAAAATATGTGACCTATTTGATACCTGGGTGTTCACTATGTGAGTGTATATCCAGGATTTATGCTGAATCCATCTTATTCATGGCAGCAGCAAGATCTTCAGTTAGGTCTGAGGCTAACATTTCATTTCTATAAATTCTACTTGTTATTGTAGCAGCATCAAGGGGAGTCTACAAGTTTCAAAAAGAATATATATATATATATATATATATATATATATATATATATAGTCTGAAGCTAGGTAAACAGTCAATAATTTTAATTTAGAATAGATTATATTTGCTATATAAATATATTTTGATTGTATGTGTATAATAAAAAAAATAATGATAGTACTTGAAGACATTAGACAGAATTCACAACTCATGGGATGTATTACTGCTAGTCTCTGGTGATTTTAGACAAACATCAGTCATTGCAAGATGAATTGCAGCTGATGAAATCAATGATTGCCTGAAAAATTCCTACATATGGAGCCATGTTCAAAAACTCAGCCTGAAAACAAATGTGAGAGTTAGAATCACAGGTAACCTTGAAGCAGGAAGATTTGCTGCTTTGCTGTTGCAGCTTGGCAATGGAGATATTTCAACCCCAAATGGTTGTGAAGTTTCAGTCTCAAGTATCTGAGATTTGATTAAACATGTTTATACAAACATTAAACACCATTTCATGGATTCAAACTGGCTTTGTGACAGGGCCATATTAGCTCCCAAGAATCAAACTGTGGATAGCGTCAACAGGAAGCCTCTTCAAAACATTCCAAAAGAAAGCATGAAGTACTTTTCCATTGACACTGTGTTTGAACAAGAGCAGGCAGTGAATTATCTAATAGAGTTCCTGAACTCATTGAATGCTCCTGAAATACCATCATGCAAGCTGGAATTAACAGAAAAATGTGTTAATCATGCTATTGAGAAATCTGGATGCTCCAAAGCTTAGTAATGGAACAAAGTTAATTGTCAAGAAGATGCTTCCTCATCTCTTGGAAGCAGAGATCCTTACTGGTCCCTGAAAGGAGGAAAGAGTTTTAATTCCCAAAATCCTCCAGATCTCCCTTTTGAGTTCTAAAGACTTCAGTTTCCAGTGAGAGTGAGCTATGCAATGTCAATCAATAAGTCCCAAAGACAATCATTGAAAGTAACTGGACTTCATCTGATGGAACCTTGCTTTTCTCATGGCCAGCTCTATATTGGTTGTTCAAGGGTTGGGAATAGAAACAAGCTATTTGTACTGACCTTGAATGGGGAAATCCAAAAATGTTGTTTATCATGCAGCTTTGCAGTAAGTTCGAAATAGACAAATTATATCATTGTTTTGATGAAAACTGTTGTTTGAAAAATATTGTTCAAGTTTAATAAAATTTAATATGTACTCAAAACATGAAGAGTCAATGTTGGGCTGAAGGCCCAATTAAGAGCCCTCCACAGGAGCTAGCTTAATTGTTGCCTAATAGGGTAGCTTTTAAGCTAGTCTTAAATAAGAATGAATTTTTACACAATGTTTGTTGTATTAGAAAGTAGCTGGCTTAGATTTTTTTCTCTCCTATATTAATTGATTTTATTCTTATTCTCTATTTTAGGAAATTTCACGTCTCCCCGCGACTTGAATTTGATCATTGCCAAGAACAATCGAATGGAAATTTATGTTGTTACACCTGAAGGTTTACGTCCTGTCAAGGAAGTTGCTATTTATGGAAGAATTGCAGTTTTGGAACTGTTTCGTCCCCCTGTAAGATTTTTACTAGATTTCTTTTAGTTCTACACATTTTGTTCTTTTTTTTTTTTTTTTTTTTTTTCCAAGTTATTTATCTGAACAGAAAAACTATGGGAAAATAAAATTTTAATCTTTAGTTGGTCTTTCTATGAAAATTTATTAAAATAAGTAGAATAATTTAAATAATAACCTGCGCTTTCTTTGTATTCCCAAATATTTAAGATTACATCTATTTTTGCTTAACGTTTTAATTAAAAATGAAAGTGTGATAAAATTTTCTTTTTATTCCAGTGAAATTTGATTTTCAGTTACACTTTCAAGATTTCATTAGTCTTGTCTTAAAGTGAAGCTGCATAATATGCAGATTCTCATACAAATACAGAAATTTGTTATTAAAAATGTTCTATTTGAATTAATAAAAATGAAAAAGATTATTTAATTAGCAACATAAATAGCATGTTTTTCTAATTCTAAATTAAGTTCTTTTGTCTGTAAACTGTCAAAAGCAATGAATCCAAACAATTTGACTTTGCATGCAATAACTTTAAGATTTAGTAGGTGCTGAAAAGTTTTCATCCTAACTCCTCTAAATCTTGATTGAACAACAGAATTTATTTTGCCATCCTTCTTATGTCAAGAACTTTTGAGTCCTTCCACATATTAGTTGAAGAGGTGAGAATTATCTAAAAGTCATACAAAGGAACTTTAAAGAATCGAAGCAGGTTGTGTTTCATGAGAAAGTATTGTTTTTTATTTTTTGAAGAGGAATACTATACTAACTAATATTGTTTGCTCTTTGAGATAAAATTTAAGATGGAATGTATATTTTATTCTCTATTTGGAATTAATCAAAACCTAAACTGTGGGCTTTATTTACATTGACTGCCACTTTAAAAGTTTAAAGGGAATTTTTTAAACTGTCAGTAAGAAAATTGAATAGCACTTTTTTCCACATTGTCTGATGGTGCAATATTTCCAGCACTCTATTTAAAGATTTTGGAATCTGTTTTTAGAAATTATTATTAAATTTACTGAATCTTTAGTATATATCAAATTTTTTGTTATTTTCAGGGGGAAGAAAAAGATCAGATGTTCCTTTTGACTTCTCGTTATAGTGCAATGATTTTGGAATGCCAACAGGATGGAGACAGCATTGATATCATTACAAAGGCTCTAGGATCTGTTCAAGTAAGAATTGAGTTTTCAGTATAACATAGGCAAAAAATAATTGGATTTCTAGTATGTTATATGCTAAAGTCTGTACACACAGATTTTAATGATGCAGACAAATGGTTTCAATATCCATTGCCAGAATTATTTTAAATGATGAATCTCTAAATTTTGTTCCATATAAAAAACACTTAACCATACACAAACAGAACATCCTATTGCCTTCTAAGAAAATGTGAGTTTTGCAAAAAAAAAAACAACTTTCAGTGCAATAGCAATTTTTATGATAAAAAAGAATAGTACTAATTTAAAATGCTCCTCTGCTATTTATGTATGCATTTATGTATGCGTTGCAATTAGTCTAAATGGGTCATATAATTTGAACTTCATGATTCTGCATAAGTAGAATGAATAGTTCCAGCCCAATTAAAATATAAGGAAATGTTTTAAGTGTGTGTGTGTGTGTGTGTAGGAGTAACAGTGGAGTAATGGATTGCAGCATGGAGAGCCGAGTTCAAATTCCAGTCAATGCATTCACTTATGTGCTAATACACTTGGGAAAGGTAGTATGAATCCATCACTTCTTCAAAGCTATGGGTGAATAGCTAGACAGACTGTGTTCTATATCCTTGGGTAGCAACTGGTCTAGGAGAAGGATAACTCTGAATTCAAAACCTGTGATGGGTTGTTTGGGGACCTTCTGGCATACTGTGCACCAGTTTTCTATATTGGGTTTTTTCAAAAAGTGTAGTTAGTTCTGCACAAGCCTTTACCATTATAATCAAGTGATATGTGTGGGTAGTCTGGCTGTTTGACTCTAAGAACTGAGCTGCTTGATCCTCGTATGTTGAAAATAACAGGAGAGTCCAGTGTATATCTATGTGTGTTTTATATATATATATATATATATATAGGGAACTAATATAAAATTGACAAATGTATCTGATTCAAATTTATTACAATGTAATAGAATATTTTATTTGTATAGGCCAAACTGTTCTCTTTCTTTTGAATGTCCATGCATATACTAGTTGATGCAGAGAGCTTTGTTTATATTGTTTTTGTTGACATGATCAATATCCATAACTTTGGCTTGATAATTTCCAGAGGGTTTCAAATACCCATCCTGGGTATGACAATAAACTACATCCAGCAAAACGACTTCTGATTAGGAGTTTTCGAGAAGCTTGGAACTCCCTCTTGTTGTTGTTCCAAGATCCACCCTGGTCTGGGGTGGTAGCACCTGTTAGGGTCCCAGCTATGTGCCAATAGTTGACCCTCAAACTGGGGTCAAAACATGATGAAAGTATAAAAAATTTTATAGTAAAAATACCAGCAATACATTTTTGTAAAAGAAATTACTAATGCTCCCAAGAAAATTAGCATTAAATGACCTATAAAGCGACTAAACAGTCTCAAATTCTTTTTGCAAGTGAACTCTGTCTTTCTTTAACCTGCTTCTTTTTTTTTTTTTTTTTTTTAAAGTTATCAACATCAACAATCATTGATCTAAATGAAAACTATCAATATTCAATCCTTCTGAATGTGAACTGTGTAATTCTTGTGTCATTTTCTAGTTTGTCAAAACCAAGCTTTCTTTCTCTATAGTAATTATGCTTGAGGTAACACACACATTATAAGGGTCAAGTGCAGATTGACATAGCAACACTAGTTTATAAACTTGAAATCCAAAAAAATTTAAATTAAGTTTTGGTCTGTGGTGAACAGCCCCGTAGAAGCAAGCAAGACAGAGTGGCTTGCATCTGTTGTATAGGAAAATAAGGGTCTTACCTTAACATGCGGCATGTGACATCAGCAAGTTTGCTTCATGAAAATGGCATTACTCTCCCGTCCAGCCATTCTAGCAGTATGTGCAGTGATGAGGGTTTTTTTGTACAGTTTGGCATGCTTCCACCAATAGCAAGTCGTGTGCTGATTGGTCAAACTGCAGGAGGCAATTTGCCTGTATAATCGAGAATAACAGTGAAGAACGCTGATTGGCTGGTGAACCGCGGTGTTGGCCTGATAAAAGAGTGCTGGAGTAGTGAAAAAGGGGATAGCAACGTCGGCTATACATAGTGACGTGTGTAGAAAGCGAGGACGGTGAATTGAACCAGCGATATTGTGATTTGTACAAGTGATGTTGCAGCAATACAGACTTATTTAAACTACATGGTCTGCATTAAATACTACATCAATGTACACTATTTTATATACTGCATCAATTTAAACTATTTTAATTTACACTAATTGCAACCTGCCTGTTTGATGTGTAATCTCCAATTTTTCTACATTTTAATGGATGCTATTAGAATCAAAATTTACTGTTCATTTTTGTTGATATTAAATTGAATCATTTATTGGCATGATGATAAAAGATATTTTAGATTATTATAGTCATGAGCAAGCACTACTACTTAGAATTGCAAAAAGATTAACTTCAGAGGTGTATTAAAAAGAGAGATCAATTCAAATATTGTTGCAAATAAACTATTTTTGATATATTAAAAAATACTTGATAACACTGCTGATTTTGGTTTTTTAGGATAGAGTTGGCCGTCCTTCTGAAACTGGTATCATTGGAATTATTGACCCTCTCTGCCAGGTGATAGCACTCAGACTTTATGATGGCTTGTTAAAAGTTATACCTTTAGATAAAGATCGTGAACTAAAGGCTTTTAATATACGGTAAGGCATATAAAGTTGTTTGTCACCTTCATAAGTTGATTAATTTTGTTTTACTAAAGTTTCATTTTTTTCTTGTAACTTTTCTTGGTGCTCTAAACATTTACATACACCTTGTCACTTTCCTTAGTATGATGATCTGTTTTAAACTAAACTGTGATTAAAAAAAATTAACCATATGAATAAATCTCTTTCTTGCTTTCTTCATGTGGAATTAATATAGACTATTTATAAAATTCAAATTTTCCTTTTATTACTAGAAATTAATTTTCTTGCTTTTAAAGTAATTTAATTTTGTCAAATGCACCATTACACTAATGATGACAATTAGATGTACATTTTTATTGCCTGGTAACATTTTTCTGAATGTGAAAAGCATGAAATGTCTCTCATTATTTTTGAATTCTGATTGAAGTTGCCACAAATTTTATCTTTTCATTAACTGCCTGATATTTTACAACTGGAATTTCTGAGCTAGCAATGTGACAAAATGTAAAACAAGTTTTATAAATATTTTTTTTTCTTTTATCAAGTAATGAATTGTTTATTAACTGTTAATTTTGCTGTTTGCTATTAATAGCAGGTAGCAAAATTTGTTAAAAATTTTAAGAAGTCTGAATAACATTGTTAATTAGTTATAAATGTGTATAGATTTAAAATGGTAAAACCAAATATTAGATGTTATTTTTTTTAGATTTCTGTAGTCAAAAGGTTTATCCTGCCAGTGCAGGTGACTCAAATTGCTGAACAATGTTTGAATTCTGCAGTTGTGTTGTCATTCCCTACTATAGCAACAGCTAAAACATGGAAATTGAAAATGAGGCTATTGTAGCTGCTGTAAACAGTGGAAGAGGAAGTAATACTGTTGAATAACACAGTATGCTAAGGGTTAAGATGATTACAGTAAAAGAATTGATTAAATTGTTTAATTACAACTATCTACATGTATTTGCATACAATATTTTTTTTTCCTTTTCCTTAGATTAGAGGAACTGACTGTGATAGACATCCAGTTTTTGCATGGTTGTCAGGTACCAACAATCATTTTGATTCACCAGGTAATCTATAAAACTATTTCTTTTAAATTAAAGACTTTCTATGAAATTACAATCAATTTCTGTCAAGATTAATGTTTACATCACTCTGGTGTAAAGGAACTTAAATTAAGAATAAACAATGAAAAGAATGTAAAATGTAAATTTTTAAAACTTTCTTTCTTAGGACCCACATGGAAGACATGTAAAGACATATCAAATTGGTCTCCAAGAAAAAGAGTTTCAAAAAGGTCCCTGGAAGCAAGATAATGTGGAAACTGAAGCTTGTATAGTGATTGCCGGTTAGTATTTCAATTCAGTATCATTTTGATAAGTTGTATAATAATTAACAGGATAATGAAATTTTTTAAAATAATTATTCTGTATGAATGGCACCTTTCCCATAAATTTCTTTTTAATCTTAAAGATTGTTTTTGTTTCTAAAAAAAAGAAAAAGAGAATCTATAGTTCTGTTTAATAAGTACAGTTTTGTATTTCCTTTTAGTACCTGAACCATTTTGTGGAGCACTAATCATTGGTCAAGAGTCTATTACGTATCATAAAGGAGATAATTTCATCTCAATTGCACCTCCTGCTATAAAGGTTTGTTTGAAACATTTCTATCTTTTGATTATTGTATTCATCACTTGTAATCCATATTTTTGATTGAAATATAGCTGCATATTGAGATCATTTTGTAATCAGTTATACACACTTCATGCATTATAAATTTGAATCAGTACCTTTTGAATTGTACAAACTGTATGAAAATAAACCTGAATTTTGTTTTAGAAGCAACTGTCTACCAGATATCCTCAATATTTGTCAGATTAGATTTTATAATGCATGTTGTTGACTTGTTTATTTTAGCAAAGTCCTTTGACCTGCTATGGCAAAGTAGATGGTTCTCGGTATCTTCTTGGTGATATGGCAGGAAGACTCTTCATGTTGCTTTTAGAAAAAGAAGAAAAAATGGATGGTACTATTGTGGTCAAAGACTTGAAAGTGGAACTTCTTGGTGAGGTGAGATAACTATTTGAATTTTTAATGCTTTCATAAAATAAACTGACAAAAGTTAGTGATATTATTTTGAAGTTTGGTTTATGCTAATTGTTCAGATGAATGTTGAAGTGTTTTGTGCTGAATGTTTTATGAAATTTTTAATCTTTAAATGGGTATTTTGTTTTATTTTTAGATAGGTTTGAATATCTGAAATTGTAATACTTTACTTTTTCAATTCATGCTATTTGCTTAAGTCATAGTGTAAAAATGACCAAAGTGTTACTAAAAGTATCAAAAATAAGATGAAAGTAAACCTTATCTAAAATAAATAAGTCTGTTACACCAGGTGGCTTTTTTTTTTTTTTTTTTTTTCAACCCAAATGTTGTTGGGCAATTGGCACATTGTTCTGGACTTTTTTCATGCTGAATCTGAAAATCAAGTCCATTTTACCCCATCACATCACGTTTTCTCGGTACAGATAATTTCTATTTGGTTTAAAATAGACCAAAATGCTTATATATGTGAGTGACATAGTTGAAATATTTTGTTTCATGTTTCAAGAAAAGGTATCCAAATAATTTTCAAAATGAATTCTAAGCTATTTCACTTCAGATAAGCTGACTTGAAAATGCTTGATTTTATGAGAGTTATGTCACTGGAAAATGTTCTTGTGCCCTCAATGTTCTTAGCTTGTTAAAACTTTATGATTTGTATTTCTTCTCTACTTGTCATAGAAGTCCTTCAATACAGCGAATTTAGTTTTTATTAGGAGTTTTCACTTTAAGCCTGAAACGGTCATAAGATTTTATCATATCACTTGAATTTATGGAGATCTGGTATTGTCGTGCAGTCTCTGTATAACATGCATAGGAACATTGATAAATGAGGATTGTTAGGGTGTTAGGTGAGACTAAGCAAGATTAGAATTTTCTTTATCAGCGCTTAAAATAGCTGCCAAACACCAGATAGGCATAGCCAACTAGGCACTTTGCAGATGGCTAATTTCTGCTGGAGCATCAAAAGAGAGCAACCTTTTCAAAAGCACCATAGAGTTTCCAAGATGAGAAGATTTATACGTTTAGATGGACAAAAATGAATGTATTTTTCATTCATTTATATCTTCTTTGTTTTGATTCAAAAATTAATAACACATGTTTGTCTTAATTTAATTTTGTGTGAGATTTTTCTGAACTGAAAATGCATTCTTTAAATTATTGGGATACCTTTTCTTTTATGATAAGTTATTTTAACCTGAAAACATTAATGTTGGTTCTACTTGGCCCTGGCATATCACTGTTAAATGGGTATTTTGGCCTATTTTAAGAAAAATAGAAATTATCTGTACTAAGAAAACCTGATGTGATGGAAAAAATAGACTTGATTTAGAGATTCAGCATGAAAAAATAGCCCAGAGACATATGCTCATTGCCCAACAACATTTGGATCAAAAAAAAAATGTTGACCGGTGTTAGCAATGTATAATTTTTAGATTCCTCTCACAGGAGTCAGAATATGAGCACTCTTTGTGTTTTTAAAAAAAATATATTTTTGTATGTAACTCTCCCTTTTTTTTCTTTTTTTTTTTTTCTTCTTAATCAATGTCCATCCAGTGATTCAAATAATGTAGAAGTGGGGCTGCTAATTGATTACACTTAACAAAGAAAGTAGATTTTGTGAACTTTGCAAATCAGGAAATGCATTGCATGGAATTAAAACCAGCATTAAAATATTGTCAAAATTTTGAATTTTATGTTTCTAGGTGTAAATGTAACTGCTTTTTGTTTTATCTTAGTTTGAACTTCATTGTTTAGCTCTGTTTGGGCAGATTGATTTCTTGGACATTTAAAAAAAAAAAAAAATAAGTCTGGACTTTTTTGTCTGCATTGTAAACCACAATAACTGAATAAGACTGAATTTGGAATGTGTCATCTTTGATTATATTGTATCTTTTTTTTTTTTTTTTTTTTTTTTTTGTTATAGACCACCATTGCTGAATGTATTACATATTTGGATAATGGTGTTGTATATATAGGCTCCAGATTGGGTGACTCCCAACTCATTAAGGTTGGTAAGAAAAAAAATTGTTTTCCTTTTAACATAGGACACTATTCATTGACTTTTAGTGTCATTCATATAAAGTATGTTAAAGTTGTTTGTAGTTTAGTGAAAGCTATAGACATTATTTTTAACTCTACATGTTGATTTACTTTTAAAAAATCACATCTTTTTAGTTATTTCTTGTATATATAACATTTTATTAAATATTCATTTACAGAATTAATATTGAACATAAATGATGAACTGAAGATTTTGTTTTTAATATTTTTCATTTGTATGAAATATCTTTCCTTTGAAAATAGTTTTGTGTCTTTATTGATAAATGATATTTTTAAATTTCAGTTGAATGTTAATCCTAATGATAATGGTTCTTATGTTCAAATCATGGAAACTTTCACCAACCTTGGCCCTATTGTAGACATGTGTGTGGTGGACTTGGAGAGACAAGGCCAAGGCCAGGTAAATGACTTTCTCTTTAAACAAAATACATTTAGTGAAATGAAAAACACCTGTCATTATTTATGCACTTATTTATGCTGTAAAACATTTTGTAAAGTTTATTATACATCTAAAAATTTGCATGAAAATTTATATATTTGTGACAGTTATAGGTTTTTTTTTTTTTTTTTTTAGTAAACTTTTCTATTTGAGACATAAAATCGATATTTCAGTAATGGCAATTTTAAGCTACTCTACAACATTTTTTTACTCATTACTATGCTATAGAACACATTTTTAGAGAATAATATTAAGTAATGCCAAACAGTTGGCAATCTGAAATATTAGTGACATATTATTAACTAATGTGTTTTATTTAGAAATTATTTACTAATTGGTATATGATTGCTTATAGACATCTCTACCAGTTCCATGACTTTACATGATATTGATTTACACATGATAAAAGGGAAAAATCTGTACTAGCCTCTGTATCAAAATCTTTAATTTAATCTAAAACTCTCTTGTTTTATAAAATGCTTTTAATAATAGAGAATGAATTATTTGGTTCTTCATCAATGACCCCATTTGTCAATAAATAAATAACATTCATATATAAATGGACACTGTTTAATCTAAACATATAATAGAGATTGTGTGTGTGTGTGTATATATATATATATATATATATATATATATATATATAGGCTCTAGTTGGAGCTCTACACAGTGGCAGACCGATGGGTGATGGCCGTTCTTTCACAAATGAAATCATGCATCAGATTGCTAAGGCTACCAGTGCTTTCGGAAAACTTTGCCATCGCTTGTGGAATGAGCAGGGTATTCAGCTGGATACGAAAATTCGGGTTGACAGAGCTGTTGTACTTGCCATCCTTTCGTATGGTTCAGTCGTGGACTCCATACAGGTACCATATACGCCAGCTAGATGTTTTCCATAAAAGCTGTCTGTGTGCAATCTGTGGAGTTAAGCTTCAAGATAGGACATCTAACGTAGACCTGTTTAATAGGTGTAATATTGGAGGAATCGAGACTTTTATCATACAGTCTCAGTTACGGTGGACTGGTTATGTCTTGAGAATGTCTGATGACAGGATACCCATGTTCCTAATGTACAGCCAGTTAGATCAGGGCTACAAGAATGTAGGATGCCCATGGCTAAGATACAAAGACAAGCGGAAAAGCAACTTGTCAGCAGTCAATATACCACATAAAACCCTTGAGCGCTTAGCCTTGGAGCGGGTAGAATGGAGATCAGCGTGTTTTAGTGGAGTCAGCAATTTTCAATCTTGTCTGAATCATCTTCAAGAAGCGAGAGCAAGATCTAAAAGGTCAACCAATCTAACAGGAATCTCATCTCACAATCCTCACACTTGCTCCATATGTGGCCTCCTTTGTAAATCACTAGTGGGTCTTAAATGCCACTTAAGATTATCGCACAAACTTTCATAACTGAATCAATAAACTGTCAGATCCTCATACTTCGAAACCGACGGGAGAGTCCATTATTTTATATATATATATATATATATATATATATTTAATCTTAAATGTTACAAGTGTAATATTTAAATATTTCAAGCACTATATTTCTGTATTTTATTAATGATTAATGACTAAGAGAATTTATTAACCTATGTATTTAGTGTTCCATTTTTTTCATATTCAGGGAAATTCTACAAATATTCTCATATTCAGAGAGCTTTCTTTTTTTTCTTTTGTAATCCCAGCAATTTGATGATGTTCATTGTTATTGTAACACGTGAAATATTTATGATAATACTTGAATATGTAATGAAAAGATTGAAGGAAACAGACTTAAAGATTCAAGGATAAAGTACATTTGTATTATGTCCATTTCAGTTTCAATAAGAATTGAATCAAAGTAAAATAGTCTGGAGAATGTTGGTGAATCTTAAAAATGTTGCTTTTGTGTCTCATTTGCAGATAAATCTTACCTTATGCTTTTGTTTCTATTTGTAGTTGGTCACTTGTTCAGGTGCTTACAAAGAAGGATCACTTCGCATTATTAGGAATGGAATTGGAATACACGAGCATGCCAGCATTGATCTACCTGGAATTAAAGGTTAGGATGCTAAAATTTGTATGTGAATGTAAACATATAGAATGATGTATTTCTGGTAAAGATCACATTAACAAGCATGCAAAATTGAGTGTGAGGTACTGCCTATGATATATCTTTTTTCCTTAAAGTCATATTGACTCTCCGATGACAGGTATAGTTTGCTGTACTATTACCATTTATGGATGATAATATTGGTGGTGGTGGGGGAAATCCTTTACTTTTTCTTGTTTTTTTTTTTTTATTTACACAATTTTATTTATTGAATTACAATACCCTGGCATTCTATTGAACTTTTTGTTTTTGAAATACGCTTCAGTTTATTCATTTAATAATTAGTTATGGGTTAAAACAAGTTACTGTACATCTATTCAAGTTTAAAAATCCATCAACATTTTCTATTGCTATTAAATTTTTAAAACTCTTCTATAAAAATAATCCATGTAAATGTATATGTACTGATATGGAAAAGAAAAAAGATTTTCAATAATATATATGCATATTAATTGGAATGCACCTTTTGAGTTGGACAATCTTGGAAAGGGAGGAATGTCATTCTGACTTATGAAAAGAGTGCATTGGGCAAAAAATGACGAGAATCATTGACCTAGAAAAGAATTGGTCCTTCATGTAATCATTTCTGAATGAAAGATGAAGTCTGTATAACTTATGAGATTGCCCATATATATTTGCCTTTCATTCAATGGAATCCTATTTCAGGAAGACTAGTTATTTGCAACATTTTATGAACTATTATCTTTAATTCTTTCCAATAGTCTTTAAATAAACACTTGTAAATAGTAGGATGGTGTTTATTTTGCTTATTTAACTTTTTTTTTAATACTATTGTTCTCCCAATACAAAACCCAAGAGCCACTCAAGGTAGAGGGTTATTGAATAATATTGTTGTAAGGGTGTAAAGAGAAGGAGTAAGAAGTGCATATTATGAAAATATGCAAGATAGATAAGAATTGACCCTAGACTTGAAGAGGTTAAGATTGTTGTGATCAGGGAAGCAACTTTTCATAAGTCTGTTCCACAAAGTAACAGTTCTGAGTGAAGAAGCTGAGTAGATCATCTTCCTTACTAAAGAAATTAGGTTGCATGGTGGGTCCTAGTTGTGAAGGTTTGAACTTGTGGAACTAAGGAATGTATCTTGATTGAACATCTGCCATGAAAATAGCAATAGAGTAGTAAGAGGCTTGTAATTTGTGGGCGAAAAGGGTTGTAGTGTGGAAAATAATTAATCACCCACAAGATATGGGTATTATAGAGTTTCTACAATGGAATTGGCTTGGAAATATATAAAAAAATAAAAAAAAGATTGTTGGTTGATTCACTTACATTAAAGATGAATGAAACTCTTTGATGCATTATTATATCAGAACAGCAAATTCCAATATCTTAAGTCATTTGTAAGTAACAGTGTAGCAAAATGAAATCTGTGCTTCTTAGGTATTATGGGTTAGGGGTCAGTAAATTCAACCTCTGCTATTATTATTTGCTACCATTGTCATTAATAGATTGGTATTCTTTATGTTATTTTTTATCCTTGTGCTAAGTTCTTATTCCATTATTGCAACGTTTTTTTATTGCACATTATAATAATTCCTGTTAAAATATTATCCTATTGTTTTTATTTTATTCTGTATAAAGTTACTGGTCTTCACACTTTTTAACTTATAACCACCCAGGAATAGTATTGAATCAGTGGAGTAAAAAATCTGTGACTGCAAATGAAACACTAATTGCCTTCACCTTTTTGTTTAACTTGTTTAAAAGAAGTGACAACTGTGTGAATTATGTCTAACACTTTTTCAAAAGCAGCTGTGAAAATTGCAAATAATTAAAACAGACATTAACAAGCATGCAGATACAAAATGTCATTTAACAAACATGCAAACGTACAAAGAATATTGCAACAATACATCTCAAAGTCATGTGTGGCACAAAGAAATGGCAAAAAATATGAAAAGTACTCAAAATACAAGGAGTTGAAATAGTCTTGTTGAAATAGGTAGTAAGCAGATAAGCTAGATCTCTAACTCTGTACTTGTTTACTCTTTCTACTGATGATTCTATTCATCCATATTTATGTATTTGGACGAGTCCAAGTCCTCTTCGGAAGAAGTGTGTTTGTTTCCCCCCCCTGCACTTTCTTTAGTTGATACTTTTTTTGGCATGGCTCCACTTCCAACGTTTCAGTCAGATTATGTTTTTGCTTATCATGACGTTGTATTGTAATTTCAGTTTTAGGAATAGGTACATCAACAGTATGTCCATCAGTAAATTGTGCTTGTTGCTTATTCTGTGCATATCTAAACCTCAATTGATTTATATGTCTTTTATGAAATCGTCCACTTTCCACAATGTATGTCATACTACTAAGCCGCTGAATAATTTTTCCTTCCTACCAATTTTCTTTTCCATCCTTAAAGTTTTTAAAGAAAACTTTATCACTGATCTCATATGATCTGGTAGGTTGGAATTGTTGAACTTTTTTCTTATTCCCTGGAAGTAATTTGTCAAAAATGGATCTAACTTTTCTAGCAAACATGGGCTCTGCAGGTGGCATTTTCATTGTGATGTTTACATTTGACGTCATTTGATACACACTCAAAAATTCTTGTAATGCCATTTCTTCAGCTTCCAAGACTTTAGCTTTTCTTAATGCTCTTTTGAAGGTGTGAAGAAACCATTCTGCTTAACCATTTGACCTCAGATGATAAATTGGCATAGTCAAATGTTCAATCGCACAGCTTTTGCAGAAATTTTTAAACTCCCTAGAAGTAAATTGAGTTCCATTATTGGATATCACACTGTCAGGTACTCCAAATCTTACAAAAAGTTCGCTATTGCGGTAATAAGTTGTTTATGGTTCAATATCTTGGGTCATTTTGTGAAACTGTCAACCACAATTTAATAGTAATCCAACAAGGTCCATATGTGGTCTTGCCTACGGTTTATCTGTGCTTGGCCATGACTGATAATTTATAGGTGGTGATTTTACTGCTGAATTACAATCATTACATTTTCTAACTGTATTTTGGATATTTTTGTCCAACTTTGGTCAATACATGTAGCTTCTCATCAAGGACTTCATCCTCACTATTCCCGGATGTCCTACATGGAATTGTTTTTTGTTTTGTAATGATAGCGGAATTGCAGCTCTATCTGCATACAAAAAGTACTCCATCACAAATAAAAAATGCTGTATTATTGTTAGCTGTTTTAATTTTAGTTTCCCTCCATTTCGACTTAACAATATTCATAGTTTTTGAACAAATGTATCCTTTTTAGACTGAATTTTGTTATTCTCTATCGTGACTGGCAATTCTTTAATAGTGTTACACACTAGGCTTTTAATTTTGCTTTTGGATTCCAGTAAAGCAATCACAGTATCTTAAAATCTTTTTTAGATTTTGATATCAATCTGGATGAGCTATCTGCATGTCTGAATTTCTTTGATGATAGAAATTCCATCTTGAAATCATAGTTCAACAAAATCGTAGCCCAACGCTGTAGTCTTTTTGCAGTTTGTGTGGGAATCCCTATCTTAGAATTGAATATATTTAATAATGGACAATGATCAGTTTGCAGTAGGAATTTTCTTCAAATATCATCCTGCGAAATTTCTTTACAGCAAAAATTATAGCAAGCACTTCCTTTTCAATTTGATTGTAGAATTTTTCTGTATTTGTCAAACTTCTTGAAGTGTGAGCAACTGAATTCACTGTACCATCATCAAATTTATGGCCTATTACTGCTCATATGCTGTATTCACTCATGTCCAATGCTACTATTATCTGTTGGTGCTGGTCATGATGTGTCAGCGATAACTCTGAAGTTAGTAGTTTTTTAATTCCTTTGAAAGCTTTTTGACATTCTGCTGACCAATTCCATTTTGTACCCTTCTTAAGTAAATTATTCAGAAGTGCTTGCAATTTGTACATCTCTGGCACATAAATATTATAATAAAAATCATTAATCCAAGAAATGATTGTAGGGTTACAAAATTTGTCATGGGAGGTGTGTCTTTAATGGCACTTACTTGAGCAGGATCTGATCTTCTTCCTTTTTTGTCAATTATCTGGCCTAAATATTTAATCTTTTCCAGAAAGAATTAAATTTTCTGTTCGCTGATTTTGAAACTGTAATCAAGTAGTCTCTGAAATACTTCCTGAATTAGTTTTACATGCTGCATTTTCATAGCACTCTTAATAATTATCATCTATGTAAGCGATAGCACCATGTTGTCCAACCAACATTGTATTTATTATTTGCTGGAAAATACCTGGGGCTAATTTTACACCAAAGGGTAATCTTTTAACTTGTATAGTCCTTTATGCATATTAATAGTCAAGAACCTCTTGCATTCCCTACCAACTTTGATTTGAAGATATGCCTCAGAAAGGTCAGTTTTTGAAAAAAAAAAAACTTTACCCCCATTTAATATGGCAAATATATACTCTGAAGTTGGTAGGTGATATGCAGTCATTCAATCCATATTTTTCTATATCTCTGAGATAAAGTATTATGATTGACTTTGTACATTTTCCCAACTCCTCTGGGAATATAGTCGGGAATTTATTTTTTTACTTTATTTAACTGTAATGTTTTTCTTTGATGAACAATTGATTTTTCCACAGAATGACTGAATTGGTCAATCCATAGTTCAAATAATTCTAACCAATTGACGCTTAGTAAATTTGAGTTGGAATTTTTTAATATGTAATCATCTGCTTTTTTAGTTTTACCCACAAGAGTGACGTTAAATGTGATTTTTCCAAGAAATTTAACCTTTACCATGCTAATTTCTTTCTAGAATTGTTTCCCCTGCCACTGTTTAAAAAACAAATACATAAACAATTCAACATACTTTAACTTTTATTACTCCTTGTGGAGTTCTGGGGGTGCAATAAGAGGCAAAATCTAAGAAGGCTTTCATTTCATCAAAAAAGTGATGTGTTTCCTTGTGTTTACATATAAGAAGACACCAGCATTTGTTTGCTCTTTCTTACACCTGACTATCATATTTACTAGTCTTCTTGACAAAGTTATTATTTTGTCGTTTATAAATAGACAAAATAATTCACCTTTAGAAAGGCTATCAGGTATATTGATGGTTGCTAGCAGCTTCCATAAAATTAGTTAGGCATGGATGATAGTAGCTGCTAGTGGTCATCATTATTTTCCTCCACATCACTAGCGTGGTTATCATCTTCAACCACTTCATCATCTATATCCAGTTGAGTAAAGCCTTCAAAATCATCATCAGAGTCCTAATCAATGAAAAATTCCTGAATAAAGACTTCGTTGGATGTTGATGCAGTCGTTTTTGTTTACAAAAGATTGTGAAAAAATTAACGTCGGTTTAATCAATGTTACACCTTGTGTAGAGTTTAGTAGAATTCAAAATGGCACCAAAAAAATGGAAGTTTAACCCAGTTCCAAAGCAGTAGTAGGCAATCTCTAGCTTAAAATACTAGAAATAACAGTTGCCTCCAACGTAGTAAAGGTTAATTTCTTGCCCGATATTCCTCTTGCAACTTTGTCAGTTTTTCTCAAGTTAGGCTTGCCAATTCTGTTCCAAGTTTGTTCATTAATAATTATAATATCACTACAAGTGTCCAATTGAAATCTTACTGTAGGGTTATTCATTTGTACTGTCACAAATTTTCTATTATTTGAACTTTCCAGTTTTTTAGCTGGTAGCACTGCTTTCAGCAAGTTAATTTGTGTATTTCTTTTGCTTTTCAACTTGCAGTAACTTTGTTTGTGACCTGTTTTCCACAATTAAAACATGTTTCTGAAATGAAACATACCACAGCCATAGCATGGGTTAAGTCTTGAAGTATTTTTATTCTGGATCTTTTGGTATTACTGTCTTTTTTCAAATCATTTGTATTTCTGTCATGCCATTTTGCTTGATTTTTGCTTTATCATGCCTTAAATTGACAAATTTTGCCACTCTTCTGCAACAGTCTGTATTGTTAACTTTGAATCCTATTTAAGTTTTGTAAGTATTCGAAAGCGTATTTCTGCAACATTGCTTGATGTTAGACCTTTTATGAAAATTAGACATTTAAATTTTTCTGGGGATAATTCATCCAGTTTAAATTTTTCACATTCACAGTTGACTTTACCGGCATATGTGACAAAATCTTCCTTTTCATCCTTAGTAAGGTTCATGCACTGCCAACATGTATAAAACTGAATTCTTTTCATCAAAAATTTTCAATAATATTAATATTGTTTCATGAAAAGGACACTCTTTCTGGAGTGTTTGGCTGGTATTTTTCATGTTCAGCAGGGGCACAATTTTCATAATAGATGTACCTTCTTTCATCCAACCATCCTTGACATTCTTTTCTGAAAATGGCCTTGTAGGTTCTGAAGTACGATAGGAATGTAATGTTTTTTTTCTGGGATGTAATTAAATTCACTAATTGAGTTAGCGACTGAGTTCAGCAAAAATGAAATTGATGTATAGTCTGTTTCATTGTTTCCCAGTGATATGTCCCTGAAAGGGATATATTTGTTCGAAGTAGCAAAGTGGTTTTGGACTACTGTAACCGAGTAGGACAATCTAGCAGGTAACTGTAATGGACTGGTCCTCGTCGTAGTGGTAGGCAATAGGCGAAGACTATAGGCGTACTCAATAGGTGTCGTCCTGTACCTCCACATCAGTCTGTATTCATGGCTGACACCAGCCAATCATATTACTGTGAGGGGGAACCCAGGTGTATGCATATTCATTACATCACTCAGGATTGCTTTTATCTGTTCTTGATATTCAATCTGTTCCCATTGCATTTGTTGTAATAATATCTTCTGGAATTCTTGCTGATGAATAATTAACTTCAATTCTCCTATAGTGTATTTTGTTCATATAATTAATCCTTAACTAGGAAGAAAAAAAGGTTTTGTTTTTCCTAATAGTGATATGTCATACAGCCTTGAAGTTTATCAACTTCTGCATGATGCTATGAATATACACAAACTCAACCAAAATTTTTTTCCATGAATTTTGAATTTTGCCAGCTATTTATGCTAAGCAAGAGGAAATAAAAAATTATTTTTTTTGCATGTGAATTCGAATTCTTGTTGCCACTGAATGAAGATAACATAATCAAAAAGTAGTATACCACTTGGTGTCGACGTAGTCTTGCTGAAATAGGTAATAAACAGATAAGCTAGATCTCTCTCTACTTGTTTTCTCCTACTGATGATTCTTGTTGTCCGTATTTATGTATTTGGACAAGTCCAACTCTCCAAGGTGAGGCCTGTTTCATCTCCACAACAGAGAGGAATATTTTTACGTTAATGCATATATATAAGACGTGTGTATAAGACAAATGGCTGAATGGCTAACCTCTTCTACAATTAAGGCATAAAAAAAATCCTTAACTTTACTAGCAAATATATTAGGTGTAAGGAAATAAGATTCTGAAAAAACTAAGAAACTTTTTTCACCTTACCAGCAAGGAAAAGCGTTAAAATGTAAATTTTACAATTTAGTAAAAACCCTAGTGTGTTTAAAGTAAGAAGAAATATTATTTACTTCGTTGGTAAGTGAGCAGAAAGCAAATTAAGGGTAGCAAAAACAAAGAAAATACTGACAGAGGTATGTTCTATCCTGTCTGACCCCAAGAGACTAATGTTGTCTCCTGGCCAGAGTCTGACTACAAAAAGGCTAGATTAAAATTAAATTGCCACTATCTAAGGTAAATATGACAGCTCAAAAAATAATTTAGGGTTGCCTTACCATCTTAACTTGCCAAAATTTTTAATATCCAATTTGTAAAAAAAAAAAAAAAAAAAAATCTTCCGCTGTCAATATACCAATTTATAAAGCTAGTATTTTACTTTATAAGAAAAATGAAGAGGGAACTACTTTGTTTTGGCATTAAGGTCCCTTTTTATTAGGGAGTGACCAAACTCAGTATTTCTTTAGTTTACTCCCTAACATAGTTCCTAAACTGACCACCACTACAGAAATTTGGAAAGATACTGAAAAACATCTGTTTATTTATCCAAAAATAAGCAGCCACAAACACAACTAATCTTTTTTTCTCTCTATATAAAGATAAATCATTTTATTTTGAAAAATAATTTTAAAGCATTTTCTCATTAAAAACAATTACAGTCTTAGAATAATCATTGTTGCAGTTGTTTTAGAAATTATTCATTTTCTTTTCTTTGTTTTCTTTCAATATAATATGAATTGTAACAGTCATGAGCATTATCAATTTCTCTTAACAGGTATCTGGCCATTAAAAGTAAATTCAGAAGTTCATGATAATATGTTGGTTATTTCTTTTGTTTGTCAATCCCGGTGAGTGTTTCTTTTTTTTCCCCCTCTTATGAATATATCTTGATCTTTCTTTAATTTTGTGGCTGCTTAATCATTATAATTAAAACATGCACAGACATTAATTTAGAGATACTTTGTGTAATTTATAACAGATTGTGTTTTGATAGTTTATATTTCAAATTAACATTACATCATCTGATTTTCAATCCATAAAAATAGAAAGACAGTTTGAGTTTCTGAACTCATAATCAGCCAATATTTTCCAAGACTGTTTATTTGAAAATATTTATTTTATCTAAACCTGTCATGAGAGAATTTTATAAATTTGTTTTTGACTTAAAACTTTCATGAAATCAAAATTGGAAAAAAAAAACATTTTTGATATTTTATAAAAATAAACAAACACATTTTTTACACTGAATTTCCATTGAAATCTAATTTTGAAACTATAAATATATAACTAACTATATCTAATTTTTAAACTATGTCACTGGAAACATTTTTTAATGTTGAACATTACAAATATTCCATTCATATTATCAATATATGTTTTTAATGAATTTTGAAAAATATACTTTAAAATTAAAAAGACGTATTTGATTGAAAATATAATTAAAAATTGTTTTAATGACTTTCTTAAATTCCAGTGTCCTTATGTTTAGTGGTGAAGAAGTGGAAGAAACCGAATTGGCTGGGTTTGATGGTAACCAAGTTACATTCTATTGTGGCAATGTTGTTCATGGCCAATTGATTCAAGTGAGTCAACATTTGTCATTGGCAAAACAGGATTTTTTTTATTTAAACTTTTGTTTCAATTTATTTAACCCTAACCGACTTACATAATTTTTTTTATGGCATTGTTTCTTTAATTCCTTAAATATAAGTTTTGTAAATGTCTTTATAGTTATAATCAAATTCATTACAATTTTGTATTATTGTTAACATAATTGAGTAAATATCGAATTATCCTTGTGTGTAAATATTACAAAGATAAATGTACAGCTATGTAAATCTCTGTCATTTGATGAGATGGGTCAGTTTTGATTTAGTTTTCCATTATTCAACAGTCTGAAATAACTAACTTCAGAAATATTGAATAATTTTAAAAGACCAAGATGAAAGAAAGTTACAAAAAAGAATTGGACCATCATAGATAAAACTTAAGTATTGTGTCAAAAATATTGATATTTTTTCCTGTTAGTTCTCTTTTATAATTTTGAGCTACTCTTGATAAAAGTTTTTATTTCCATCTATAAATAAACCTACAATAAAAATCTGGATTATTTATTGACCTTTATATGGATGTCCTTGATATTGTTGTGCTAATGGCTGTTTCATAACATTTCTGGTTTCAGGTTACTCCTGCCTGTGTACGTTTGATCAATGCTGATGGACTTATCCAACAGTGGAAACATCCTGAGGGTCGGAATATCAGTGTATGTAGTTGTAATCAGAACCAGTGTGTACTTGCTGTAGGCAGTGAAATATTCTATCTTGAAGTGCTGCAAGGAGAACTTAAACAAGTAAGGTGAGTAAATTGACATTTCTATTTGTCTTTTGTATTTACAAATAATAAATAACTGTATTAATTTACTTACTGATAGGCTGTTTTTTTTGTCTCTCTCCCCAATAGTGTTAATAAAAGTTATAGTCCATGATACATTCTACTACTGATATTTTTCAAAGAAGATAATTCTGTGTTTAGAGAAATAATTTTGGGTTTCCTTTTTGATACATAGTGCTCCCTCAAGATTTCTAATGCTTTTCTATCATTGCCCTTAACATTGTGAGTAACCAAGAAAAGACTCCTATCATCTAGACATTCCTGTCATTATAATTTTCAACTTTTGATTGACTTTGTATCTCTAATAGAATATTCTATAATTTTTGGAGTCTTATATAAATCAATAATTTAACTTTCCTTGTAATTGCTTTTGGAACCATCAAACAATAGACGGAATCTCATGTGCCTATAAAACTTGTTGTGGCTTGAGACATTTTGTTATACTAGAATAAACTAAGCATCAATATTGTCATCAGTGATATCCACAATGTTGTCAATTGTTTCAAGCATTATAACAATGTGTTTTATTATCCACTCATGAGAAAGAATACATATCTTTAGCAGAGTTAAAATTCTTAATCTAATTACTGAAAAGTATAATAAATTTCAATTCATTCAACTGTCATTATCCATTGTGACCATCAGTATACTTTACTCTTGTGAAAAATCTTGTACAGTGCTAAAGGTCAAAATATATTGACATTAAGTAACACTTTATTTGGTCTGAAGTGCAGAAAGGTGTTTATACAATTTTGTATATATTCCAACCAAAATGTAGCAGATATATTCACTAAGCCAGTGACTTTATGGGAATTCAGCCTGAAACACAAATTTTTAGATTTACTGCAAGTGTTGGAATAAAGTCACTATAAGTTTGAGTGGGGTATTGGAATAGGTATCCCAAAGTGAAATTTTATTTTTAATATATCTAAAGACCTTTAATGCAGGCATAGAGATCTTGAGAAACCATAAACAATGGGACTAAATTTATTTAGTAGCTCAATTAGCAACAAAGTTAATAAAAACAGAAAATTGTAGTCTCCTATGCTATTGCACAAATCACCAAATCTAACAGTGTATAACTGAAGATGCAAGTTTCAAACAAGTCAAAAATCATTATGAAAATGTGATGTCATATAGGTAGTCTTGAAGTAAAAGAAAGTTAATGCTAATGGAATCCATAATTCTTAGATCAGACCAGCCTAAACATTGGAAAAAGTTTCTTAAGAATAAAATTGTAAAAATAACACAAGGGCAAATTTGACCAATCATAAGTTTCATTTCAATAGCCATTACTTTGCATCTTCTTCCTATACTTCATAGCATAATGGAGATGAAGCTATTTTTTTATCTATAGTACCTCAATAAAAACCCTATATTTATGCTACATAAAAATATCCACAAGTACAATTTGGCAGTAGGGCAAAAACAGATCGAAAGTACCGAATTTGCCATATAAAAGTATCCATTGGGGGTACATGCTGAAACTTTACTAATTTTGGGTTGAGAAATTCAATAAAATAGTTCTTTTCACTGTAACATAAATACCTTTTGTAATATATGTATCTTATTTTGGTAAATTATGTCATTTTCAACTCATCAAAAACAGGAGAGTAATGGTTACAAAACTTAGAATTTTGTTTTACAAAAAGAAAACAAATCCTTTATAATAGTGCTTTAAACTACTTCAGTTCTAAACTGATATAAAAGATTTTCTGGACATTGTAAATGGTTCTCTCCTAATGGTAATTTGCCAACTAAATTTCCTCATAATCCATATGACTAATATTTCTGGAACACTCCATATCTCACCATCACTTGAAACTGACATTACATCGAAGTCCCATCTAAAGACAAATGTTGATTCCACTTTGCAATATCATCTGCCAAAGGTTATCAGAAATAATAATTTCTTCTCTTTGTTGGAGCTAAAAACTTCATCCCAACACTGAATGGAGATGCAATATCAATGACTTGGCCAATGTAAAAAGTTGGAATCATAATATACTGCAACGCATTGGCCTTGGTACTCGTAACTGAAGGTCACCTGAGGTGATCCTTCTTCATCATTACTACAAGTGTTTAAATACTTAAAATCACTGAGTGCCTTTTCTTCTTTTATCCTTTGTCTTAGAGGTGGAGATGAATCAACTGATTTTCCTGTTGGCAAGTAGTTGCAAAGAGCAGCTTCTAGCTGAGATTTACTTCTACTGATGTTAATCTTGATACCTAAAAGAACCTTCAGATATCTAAGTTGATCTTTCAGTGCTTCCAAATCACTGCTTGCTTTGTACATCTTTAATAGACTTCACAAGACCACCATGCTTGATGACTGAATTAATGATTCTCTGCTTCTCAGCAGCAGCTTGACACTCCTTTTTCCTTTTTTTGCTTCTCAATTTTAGCAATCCTTTCCTGTACTACATGAAATTTCAGAAATACTTCTTGTTGCTTGTGTCTTTGTTGCAGATGTTTTGCATGCTTTCTTGAAATGACAAGAACTGATTGCCACTCAGCTGCTGATTTTACTTCCAGCCAAGCTGTAGTCTGGTTGCGTTTGAGCATGTTTAAGGTTGATCGATGCATGTCATTTTTTTTTTCTTTTTTGTCAGTTCCACCCCAACTTTCAAATATCGTTAACACATTTAAATTTTGAGGATGTTTGAGAAAATGTTTTTACACTTACATAAAAGAAAAATCTCTGAAGATGTTACTTGAGTAAAAAATAAATATATTCAAATTCAACTGTGAACATACTGAAAGTTTGTCATGAATCTTACCAAAAATAGCCTCATAAAACTCGAAAAAACATTTCATTGAGAGTTGGTATTTATATAATTTAAAAGATTTTCTTTCACATTTGACACAATATATCTGTTGTAGAGATGGGCAATTTAACCGAAAAGCCAACTTTCATCTTCACACTGTGAAACCTCATCGAAATATTTTACAAAACTGAAATCATTCGGTTTCGTTTAGTGCTATCACTACTAAGTGACCATATCCAAAGAAATACTATTGAAAAAGACTTTCAGATCTTAATAAATTTAAATTTTATCAACATTTATACCATTTGTAAGAGAAAAAGATTGAACAAAAATGTTAAAAACATTTAATTGACTAGTTTTAGGAAATAAATGTGAAATCTATTTGTTTACAAAAGAAATGAAGAAAAAAATATACCAGATATGACACTTGGAAATCATAATGTTTTCAAACAGAAAAAAAGGAAAATAAAATACATGATGTCAGAAATCTATTTCTTTTAGTTTTTAAAAAAAAAAACAAAAAAAAACACTTTTTGTGGTAAAATTAAGTTAACAACAAAATAGCAAGTAAAAATAAAAAAAATATTTGCCAGTTTTGTCTTAATGTTATTTTATGAAGTCAGATTTTTTTGTAAGGCTTTTCTAGTAAACTGGTATGTCCATCACAAAATAAATTTGTTGTAAACAAGAAAAATGAATGAAGTTATTTTTGTTATAAATAAATTTATTCTTTATCTAGGGAATGCAACTAAATTAGATATTAAGAATAATTAAAATACTTCTAATTTTCACTTTTAAAATGTGTAATATTTCCAGATATGCAAGTCTAGTGTAGTAAAAATATTGTTTGTTTTCTACAAATAAAATTATGTTTCTAATCTCATGAATAATACACCTAAAATTAGATATTAAAAAAATAAAGTAAGTTTTAATCTCAGTTTTAAAATGTGTATATTTTCAAAACTACAAGTCATTTTTTTTAAACCCAAAGTAAAAATTATTCTTTTTTAGCCACTAGTGTTCGGTGGGTGTTTGTTAATGTTCTGCCTATAAAATTCTTCTAAACAAGTAAAATTAATTCATTTTATTTTTACAAATATCTTTACGGTTTTATCTAGCGAATACACTTAAAATTATGTATCAAAATGATTAAAATAGTTTTTAATTTCAGTTTTAAAATGTGCATCTAAAAAAGGATAGGTGATAATCACAGATTTGAAAATATACACATTCTAAAAATGAAATTAAAAGCTTTTAATTATTTCTAATATTTAATTTTAGGTATATATGCGAATATATACCATAGAAAAACAAATTTATTTAGGGGGAAAAAAATAACTCATTGATTTTCCTTGTTTAGAATAAATTTATTTGCAAAACCCTCAGTAACAGTTAACTGGCATACTAGAAAAGAATTACCATATTTTTAATTATTTTAAACATAAGGGGTTTCATTTTTGGCATTTTTGCCTCTAAATAAAATAATTAATTGCTTGAAAACAAGTGTCTGTCAGTGTCAGACAGTAGTTTCAATAATTTGAAAGTTCTTTTACTACACATTTATTTATTTATTACTATCAGTTGCTTCCCCCCCCTTTTTTTTTGCTTACTTTATAATTTTTGAAGGAATTTGCTTCTACGGGTCAGGGAAGATGAATATCTTCCTGGTTGTAGTTTAAGGTGTCTTCTAATTGAGTGTACAATTTCAAGAATATTGATAAAAATTGGTCACTTTGATTTTGTGAAACAAAGTAATGTGTAAAATTCAATTTAAAAAAAAAAAAAATCATATTTTGGATTTTCGGCTGTTCGAAGCAAAATACCATTTTTAACTCCCTGTAAAAAAATAATTCAATGAATAAAAGCATAGAAAAATTATTTTATTATATATATTTATCATATGAATATTTTTAAGATTAGGCCAGAAATACATGAGAAATTGCGAGTTGAACAGACTAAATTGCAAATTTATCAATCTCAAACAAAATCAGATAACAACTGGAAATGCTATCATTACACAAGAAAATGAATGGCTTCCTTAGAAAGCAAAAATACTAAATTAAAAACTGAATTGAAAACTGCAGTATCAAGGGAAAAAACGGAAACTGATACCAAAACATAAATTGCCAAACCAATGATTCTGCTACATTGAATATCTATTTTTAAAAAAATGTACTTGTAATTTTTCATTACAATTCTAAAATTCCTCCAATAATGGATTTTTCTATTAAATGAAGATCTGTTATAAGAATTGAACAATGTAAGGTTTAATTAACATTTTTGAGTGTTAACATTTAGAAGGTTTCTGTGGTTATGACAGCTCATAGGTTACCATACATAAATAAATGTTATTTTCATTGTTTTAAGCAAAAAATAAATATTTTACAAAATGTTTTACAGTTATTCCTTAATTTTACTAATTTACTTTGAAACAAGACATGCTGCATCTTTGAGATTTTTAAATTTGTTATTTTCATTTGTCATCTTGATGCAGTCACTCACCGAATTCACCATTCTTGAATGATGAGTGACTGCAGCAATGTTTTAAAAATGTCTTAAAAAGTTACCCTCCCCCTTTTTTTTTTTTTTTTTTTTTTTTTTTCTTTCTTCACAGTTTGGCTTTAGTCTGTTATCTGTTAAATTTGACTCTAAGGGAGGCATTTAAATTATTCAAAATGCTTTTGCAAATTTTTCTGCAGTGAGTTCATAGTGATACTTTTTAAATAACCATTAAAAGTTCTAATTTTTTCTGAACAAATGAGAATGAGCAAAATTTAAAGAACTATTATTTTTTATTTTATTTCAGATAATTTTTTTTTTTTTTTTAAGAAAATGAGAATAGGCAACACTAATTCCAGTTGACAGTTTGGACAAAATATGATTTTATTTTGTCCAAACTGCCAGCTTGAATTTATTTTAAAAATGAATAATTGCTTTATACAGTTTTAAAATGCCGCATTATAGAAAATATAAGAAAGATTTAAACTGTAATATTCATCAGTGAAACAAGTCTCATTTAAAATTGGATTCAGCTGGGTTTTTCATTCATTCGGTCAGTAATACAAATTTCAATGCATCAGGCCTGAGACTATTTACATTGTTTGGACTATCATCCTCGTCTTTGTTGCCATATTTATCACATTTCGGCTGTTGTATGCTCCAGCCTTCTTCAGGTAGTTGGAATGTTGAACTGAACCCTTTATTTCGCTTGCTGGGGTAGACTGTTCTAGTTCCACGTGCCATGTCTAATGGATGTCGGTTATCAGATATCTCCTGTTAATTCCCCTCTCCAAATTCTCCACTGCCTTAACCAGTTGAACTCACACTTTGGGTCCTGTCATTGGATCTAACTAACACCTTTATCCACTGTGCCATGTTTGATAAATATGGCAACAAAGATGAGGATGATAGTCCGAACAATGTAAATTGTGTACAATACCTCATCTCAGAAATATAAACAATCAGGCCTGACTATTTTACACAAAATGAACGCAGTACACTCTGTTTTTGATTTGCATGCACCTCTAGATATATGGGCACAAAGATATGAAACCAACTGATTATTAAAGATGAGACATTGCTCTACAAGGAGATATAAATTTCATTTTTGTAAGTGTTGAATTTCTTTAGTATTTCATCCACTAAATGTTTTAACTTAGAAATTTTTTGTAAAAGACATCTTCAACCTTCTGGTTCTCAAATTGACAAGTGTCCATTTTTCTTTAAGATGGGACTAATTTGATATGTGTAAATACACAACTTGGAGTGCAACTAATTTGAAGAACACCACTATGATATCATCAAATTTGAAAATACAGAAAATCACTTTGTCATTGAAATAGTGACATAATTTAAAGAGATGTGGAATAAAACTTAATCACACATGAAAAAGAATTGTATCTTTTTAGGAAGAGAAAAAATTAAACTTTGTTTACATACTAATTTTATCAAAACAGCCTTGAAAATAAACGAGATATCAGCATTTGAAAAGGACGGAAATTTCACTACTTTGACATATGTTCATACTAAACTAGGGTACTTTGGGATACCTAATTAAAATATAAACATGTGATTCTATGTAATCATACATTACTGTATGCAAATCAGATTATAATTTGCTGCTTGTTATGGTATATCTATCATGAAGCCATATTGAACTGTATATACACATTACTTTGTTGTACTACAATATGATCGCATTTACTGTTGATGCTATGTTTATTCTGTTGTCATGTCTAACAAAATGCTAACAATATCATTAGTCTTTTTCTAACATATTAATGAGGACCAATTTAAAACTTTGGATATGAAAAAAAAGCAGTATATTGGCTGAAAGAGTAAATTCTTACTCTTTCAGCTTTGTTAAATGTTTTTCTCATTAAAATATGACAAATCTCTAGATATTTTCATGAGAACAGAATAAATCTGAAAATATTTTCATGTCTTTGAAATTTGTATGTAGAAAAACAGTAAATAGACCCAGTGTAATTGCATTTGTGAGATGTCAAACTGTTTCATTAATGATCTCAACTTGCATTTTGGCTTATGTATTGAAAAGTTATGACAATAAGATCATTGGCAATTTAATAAAAAGATAATATTTCAGTAATGTAATGCCTAAATCTTTTTCTTTTTTTTTTAACATTTTACTAATTTGATGAGAGAGTAAAACTACTAGAATCAAAGGCTTAATTTGTTTTTCTTTTTTTCAGCAAAGCTGTGATGGAACATGAGGTTGCTTGTTTAGACATCAGTCCATTAAAAGATGGTGCCACCCATTCTGATTTGTGTGCTGTTGGATTGTGGACTGATATATCTGCACGTGTATTGCGTCTCTCAAACTTTGAAGTGTTGCATGTGGAAATGCTTGGTGGTGGTGAGTGGTTTGTTCTTCTTGGTTTCCTTTAGTCAATTCTTAGCACATTTTATACCATTAAGCCTTGTATTAGCCTGAGGCTAAAAGACTAAAATATCTTAGTTTCTCTTCATAATTTTATCTAGTTTCTAACAAAGATGCTAAGCCACTTACACTGAAAAACCAATCTAATATTTGTAACACTTTGTTTTACCATCAAAATATATTTACAAAAGGGGATATTTTAGAAGTAGTTTTCAAGAAAGTACAATAAATCACATTATTTGGTTGATACTCTTCTGTATAAACTCATTTCAGAGAAGGCTTATCCTTCTGTGCTTTATCTAATACTTATAAAATCCCTGATATTTTGTGGAAGTTTGATCTAAAAACCCTAATCATTTAAAGAGATGCAAAATGTTTTTACGTACACATTTATAAAAAATATGGATGTTCCCCTTGTCACACCCTCACTTTACACTTAAAGAGTATGATTATTTTAATTTGGAAATGAGTGGTATTTCTCTTACAGATTATCCTCCTAGTTTTAATATTAATATCTTGCTTTCTATTTATTGCCTAATTAGTCTATCAAAAACAATATGCCAGATTTTACAAGTATTACCCAGATCATTCATGACTGTCTGCTAGGTTTTTGTTCTAAATATGCATTGTCTGCTGATGTATCTTTGATTTACTCAAAATTGTCTATCATGTCATTTATAATCAGTGCTAGTGTAGGAAATTTAATAGCTTTATTATTTATAGCTTAATAGATAACTGAACATTTCTAAATATATTGGCAACCACCCATAGAAAAAAAATGAACATGAAAATTTTTTTAAAACTTCAATTCACACCACAGTGGAATAATGAATAACGGCTCGGATTGAGGAATCAGAGAGCCGAGTTTGAATTTGAGTCAAATCCATTACATTCACTTATGTGCTAATGTCCTTGGGAAAGGTATGAATCTTCTCCTTCCAGCTATGGGTAAATAGCAGGACAGACTGGATTCTATAGCCTTGGATGGCAACTGGTCTATTGCAGAAAGAAATGGCAACCTACTGCGGGGAAAAAAATCTGCCTTGTCAGTCATGTATCAAAAGATACATGATTGCCTAATCATGCATGGCATGTAACTGACTGACTGTAACAGTGAAGGTGCATTTCTGATGCCTATTTTCTGCAAGCATTTGATTTTTGTTTTTGTTTTTTTTTTGATAATTGGTAAATTAAGATTAATTTTTAATTGTTTTGTTGGATCACATGAACTAGAAATTTCTTTCTCATAATTTGCCATTAATAAAATCTTCTTGAGGTTCTGATTTGTTTTAACTTAATCTTAAAGAATACTCTTTACTTTAAACTGGTTTGGATTAATTAAATCATTTTCTTACTACAGGTGAATTACAAATATTACTATATATTGATTTTTATTGATCTATTTTTCTACAGAAATTATTCCCAGATCAATTTTGATTGCAACATTTGAAGGCAACCATTACTTATTGTGTGCTCTTGGTGATGGTTCATTATTTTATTTTAATCTCAACATAGAAACCGGTAAGTATGCCTTAAATGACATTTACTAACAAACTAGAGAGTAATGTAGAATCTTTTTAGTTTATAAGATTTATTAATATATTGAACTCTCCTGAGAGGAGCTGTGCTTTATATATAAATCCTTTATTTTAATGCCTAATTAAAAGAATTCTTTCACTTAAGAATTAACAAGGTAGAATCAATAATAATTAATAATTTAGTATAGGAATTTCATGATGATAATCAGGTATAATGGTGAAGAACTTCTAGGATGTGATGACATCAATTGAAGTGATTCAGATGTGGATGAAAATAATGCAGCAAGTGAACATTGCTCAGGACAAGCCAATAAACTGCTAAATATCCTCCTTGCAAGAGTTTATCTTGGTAAATTTGGGAGACAATAGTTGGCAAATTCACTGTCTTCATCTCAAACTAGAATAACCCTTTCAATATGAGGTGTGGTCCAAAAAAAATAACTGAAAGTACAGTGCTTTGATTTAATTTTTCCAGATTTTGAATTTTACAAGCAAACATGCAACTGCTGATTGCAGAATATAGAATAGAAACACAATGGGTTTGATGACACATAAGGCCTTTTTTGTTGTGTGTGTGTGGGTCTACACTGTGTTTGTAAAGGAAATCATGAAAATATCAGGAACTTATGCAGTGATGAATTTTTGGGAAGGTTTGTTTTTTAAAGTTAATTACAATATCTGTAAATAGATAATTTCTTCATTCTTTTTTTGCAGGTTACCTTAGTGATAAAAAGAAAGTTACCCTTGGCACACAGCCTACTGGTTTGCGCACATTCAAAAGTTTATCCACTGTCAATGTCTTTGCCTGTTCAGATCGCCCAACAGTTATTTACTCTAGCAATCACAAATTGGTGTTTTCCAATGTAAACTTGAGAGAAGTAAATCATATGTGTCCACTCAACTCAGAAGGTTACCCTGACAGGTTTGTTTTGTTTTTTTTATTGTATGTTTTCATTTTTATTTAATTTCTTTTTTTGCTATTTCTAAATATTTCTGTCTTATGTTATATTTTAAAAAAAAATTTTTTTTTTTTTTTTTCTTTTTTTTACAGGTTTCATAGTGATTTCATAAAACAGCATCATTGTATTTTAAACATATCTAGAAGTTTAGATCTTTGCTTAGGCAGCTGTCTTTTTCAATAATAAACATGATGACTGCTATAATATTCTATTAAATGTGATGTGCTTTTCTATATTATCTCCTTGCTTTTCATAACTTTAGATTGCCTGATATTGTAACAGAAGCATATTCCAGAATTTAATATAATGGATCAAAATATAAATGTTTACAGTTCTTAATATCTGAGCTATTTTATAGCAGCTGCTGGTGTTGTATGAATTTGTCTTTTTTTCTATTTATTGTAATCCTGTTGTCAGAAGTTTCAATAAAAAATAATTTTCCTTTCTTTTTTTTCCTCCCTTTCTAGTCTTGCTCTTGCAAATGATAGTACATTAACAATTGGTACAATTGATGAAATTCAAAAGCTTCACATACGAACCATTGCATTGGGTGAATCTCCCCGGTGAGTAGAACTTTCTTTTTGTTTAAATTGAAATTATTATTCACTATGATTGTCTTAAGTTTGGTATAAAATCATTTCGTGATTCTGCACAGATGAGGAGCAAATTTATTTTCAATTCAAAATTTGTTAGAAATCATATAACTCATTTACACAAAAAGAGTTGAAAAGTAAAAGAATATTGTTATGACTAGCATTCCTTTGCCAATGTATTAGTAACTGAGTAGTTACTGAAGAAAATTGGGCTCTTCAAAATACTGGTAACATTTTTTTTTCTTTTTTTTTCAAAATGTTACTTTCATTACTGAGTGTTACTTGAGTGATATGACTAGAAGTTGTATTGTCACTGGTGCCTCACAGATGAATATTATTAAAATAAATAATTGGGTACATAAAAAATCTTAAATGAAAATTCTCTCTCGTGTATCATTACTGAACAAGTAAATAAATAAATGACATAATGTAAAAATATAAAACTATTTTGAGTGGACCAAAGATACCAAGCAGACAGATCGAGGTTTCATCCTCAATCATGAGTTATTAATCTGGCAAAGCAATTTTCTTTCAAGTGATCAAAATAGTGCTTGTAAAATTTGGTAAATTGATTTTGATGAACTAATAAAATTATGAATAGTAAAAATTAAACTGATCAATAGTCTGGTCTATGAAATCAGATTCCCTCCTTTTTGTAGTTAATTAATGAATCCTAATTAACCTGGAATTTTAAGATAATATTTAAGTTGACCACAAATTTTTCTTTTTCCACTGTTATCTGATCCAAAGTATTTCACACTTTATAAAGAATATTTTAAATTTATTTTGTGTAGACGCATTGCCTACCAAGAAGCCTCACAGACATTTGGTGTTATTTCCATGAGAATGGACATCCAAGATGCTAATGGTACTCGACCATCACGAATTAGTGCCAGTGTCCATGCTGCAAGCACTTCTTGCAGTACCAACACAAAACAAATGACTGGCAGTACTAGTTCTGTGGGTGATTACATATATGGAGACCAATTGGAAGTGCATTCGTTACTCATTATTGATCAACACACTTTTGAAGGTAAATTTACTTGTCTAAATCAGATTGACAACTTTCAACATGACTATTTTATCAACGTGTAATAGTGTTGTGCATGTTAAAATGCTATTTCTAACTATTTATCTTCTTGAATGCTATAAAGATACTAACAAGCTATTAGTGTAACTATTTCAACTAACAAGAGTACAGATGCAAATTTTCTAACTCCATGATTCCAGCATCAAGTCTGATTATCAGATACTTATGTTTTGCATTAGATTGTACAGTAACAAATCAATATTTCTAAATTGCTCATTTATACACCTTCCATGTTTTTTGTTTTTTTTTGTTTTTTTTTTTTGTGCCTATTATGGATTGATAGAAAAGCAAATAGTAAATGTGAATATAATCTTTTAATCAAGTTTGGGTTGGATTACAGGATTTGTATCTGTAACATAGAGTAGCCAAATAGATCTAGTTCAGATATTGTGTGTGTGTGTATATATATATATATATATATGTAAAGGGTGACCCTAGTTGTAACCCAAGTTTCACACTCGCACAATTTTCAGACAACTTGAACCTTCAAGTGTGCATGAAACTAGTTACAACTAGGGTTATCCTTTCATGGGAATTAACATCATCAAGAATTTTTGCTCTATGTAATCTCGGCATTGAGCACTTTACTGTGTATGTAGGTGTTTGCCTTTTAGCTCTTTTTTTCTTATTGCTGTCCTTTTATCTTGTTTAAGTACATTAAGGCTTTTAGCAAGCTGTCCATTAATTCTACTAAAAGTTTTGCTTTTTCTTTAATAATTATATATATACCATTTTAAAATTGTAATTAAAATTGTAGTTAGATAAAATGAATTCTAACCTAAACTTCTTTTAATTAGTACTACACGCACTTAAAAGAATCCAATAAAAACACCTATAGTAAAATAAAATAAAATTAATATGAAATGCCATAAGATGTAAGCTTTTGAATGACCCATGTCCTTTGTACTTACATGAAAAACAATATATTACTAGGTTTATATATAAAATAAAAGTTTACTAAATCAGTGAAATTAAGTAACCATTTTTGCCGTCAGTCATAAATTTTTTAATAAAAAAAAAAAACATTGTAACCTCATATACATACTTAAACTTGATGTTAAAATAATCCTACATAATATAATGGAGTCTAATACATTTAACTGTTCTTAAAAAGAATATAGTATAATAAAAATTAAAAATGAGAATATTTCAAATCGTAGTTAAATAAAAAGTATTATGATCTGAACACCCCCGAAAATCTTTAAATTTATAAAAGGAAAAAAAAATGCCGTAAGAATTTTTTTACCGTTAACAATAATTTAAAAAAAAAATCCAGACGACATGCATTGAACGGATGTCAGTTTTCATTGAAAAATACATCCCTACCCTTTACCAAATTGTAGCTAATAACTGATACAATGATACTGACATAAGGAATACCTAGACATCCCTTGTCCAATTCAAGTAGAATATTCTGTAACCATGTAAACGTGATTTTAGCTGTGTCTTTAAAACCCAGTAATTTTTAAAAGTTACTCCAAAATTCGCTTGAGGATGAAATGGAACTAATGCTTTTAATTTAATTGCAAAATTAAATTCGGGGCTTTTAGCTTCTATTTTTGAAACATGGTTAGAACTGTGTAGCGGAAAAAAACATATTTTAAATCAATTTATAATATTATGCTCTGTAAATTTATATTGAGAACTATTTTGTAAAAATAAAAATATCTATAAGAACACCGGATTATATATCTTGCTGTTCTTTCTTTTTATTTATTTATTTATATATATATATGTTGCACATAATTCTGGTGTTAATAAAAACAGTGCTTGATGTAATATAACAGAGCTATTAAGTATATACTAATAAATATACTTATAATAATTACTTATATATTCCTTTTTTTTTTTTTGTTTTTTTTTTTGATATATATATATTTGTCTTATATATAATTATCTCTTTCAGTGCATCATGCCCATCAGCTTATGGCAAATGAATTTGCTTCAAGTTTGATCTCAGCTAAGCTTGGAGATGATTCCAACACTTATTACATTGTTGGTACAGCTATGGTGAATGCAGAAGAAGCTGAACCTAAGCAGGGACGAATCATTATATTCCATTATACAGATGGTAAGTTATTCATATCTATATTCTACAGGAGACTAAATATGGAAAGGAAAAAAGTTTGACTTTATAGCTATATAAAGAAATGGATTAATGGCAAAAGTAGATATATGAAATACAAAAATTGCACCAAATGAAAGCCTTACAGTCACAGCCAATCAAATAGATCTGTCCATCTGTCACTGTACATGTCTTGGAACTTCATAGCCATAAATTCACCCTAATGTTCAAAAGATGGTGTACTCTGTTTTCAGTAACAACTGTATGAATCTTTCAGTAATTATAGTTTGTGGATTGTAGTGGTTATGCCAATTTTAACACGATTATGGTTTCATTTAGTGATTGGTTGATTGATTTGTTTTGTTTATCAACTATTTGTCGGTTATTTAAAGCCAAATCATATTTAGGATTACAAGAATAATACTTTTCTCCAAGTGAATATTGCATTAACAATTTTTTGGAGATAATAAAGACTTTTTCAGATACGTCCTGTTTTTAACCCTTAGTTGGGGAGAGGAGAGTAGATTTGCTCACATTGTGTCATTCTATGAATTAATCAAGGAAGACAATATGTATAAGCCAAATTAACATTTAACAATTTATTTATTCCAGCTTTTATATTTTAGTCAAAGCAGAAGCAATTTGTCAACAATAGTGTATATTTTCTAAGCTTAGAGATTATATAAGTCCTTTTTCTTAGCAGACAGAAGTATGTGTTATCTTTTATTTGTGCCATGTACAGCAACATGGAGATATGACAGTTTTCTTGCTTACCAAAATATTAATTTCAAACTTAAAAAAAAAAAAAATATGTGTCACCAGCTGGATGCATGAGTATTTTTTTTCTTGGTAGTGTCACATGTAAGACCAAAGTAGATTCACCCTGAATGATATAAGGCTGAGTGTTTGCCTTGGAATTTCTTCATGTTTAAGTTGTATGAAATTTATTGTTGGATTTTTTTTTTGTTTTGTTCCTCATCCTCATTATTTTGTTTCCATTAACCTTATTAAGACTATTTCACAATATACTTACTGCTTATACTAATTTTATTGATTAAAAATATAATATTGAGGCTGTTTCTAAATAATATTTTTTTAGTTAGCAATGAATTGGATTAAAAGATGTTAATTGAAAATTAAAAAAAAACAAATATTTATTTGATCTTAGCTTAAAGACGCAATATATTTTATTAGTATTAAATTCAACTTCTGGAAAAGTAATAGATATTTGCTAAATTCTTCATAGCACAACTGTTTTCTTTCCCTATTTGTATATTTATTTTGTTTAGATTTTTGTTTTGACAAAATAATTTGGTTATTAACTCTTCCCAGTTACAGCAAAATTGTTTTTCTTGGGGAGTGTTTATTGTCATGCATTTAATCGTGATGAGTTGAAATATATTTTTCTCATTTTGGTTAAATCACCTGATGTTAGATGCTTTGTCTTTAGGCATCTGGTGAGCGTCTGCTGCTGCTACAGTGAAAAGAGGTCTTTTGTTCAATTACAATTTGTGTTTTTTCTTCATTTAGTGACACTTGAAAACTCACTATTTTGTTTTTTTTATCTATTTTTTTTTTTTTTTTTTTTTTTAAGGTAAAATTACTGTAGTAGCAGAAAAAGAAATAAAAGGGGCAGCATATAGTTTGGTTGAATTTAATGGCAAATTATTAGCAAGCATTAACAGCACAGTAAGTATTTTTTCCCTTTTATTCTTATTGGTTTCAACAGTAATCATTGGAATCAAGCTTAATGTCTTTTTCAACATTTGTAGTTATGTAATGTAGTTTGTGCATAAAAATCTTTAATTTTAATCTTCTGTAGAATTTATTTTAGCTTATTAAAAATATTTTCTTTTTCAATGCGTACTTAGTTTTATTTTTGTAGCTACCACATTTTAACATTAAATGAGAACACAATATTTTATTCTTTGAATTTAATATTGTTTGTAATCTTTGAACTTCTGCTATCCACAGGTACGTTTATTTGAATGGACAGCAGAAAAAGAGTTACGCCTTGAATGCAGCCATTTCAACAATATAATTGCACTTTACCTTAAAACCAAAGGAGATTTCATTTTGGTAGGAGATTTGATGCGATCCATTACATTATTGGCTTATAAACCTGTGGATGAAAATTTTGAAGAGGTAGGTTTTAACTAAGATTCAAAATAATCTTTAATCTTTTCTTTAAACTCCAATTCTTCAATGTATTCACTACTGTAATGTTCTAAATTTTTACTCTTGATTTTGATGTTGGTCATACATAAAAAATTTATCCTGCAGTTTGAAATAGACAAAGAAAAACTGGAATGTTTCAGTATGCATATGTGTCTATCAAAATTATTACCATGTTATTATCAATCCTTTAAAAAAAAAACATTTGGCAGTGGTTTAAAAAAAAAAAAAAAAAGTGCAGTTTTTTTTTCCTTCAGCAAAGACTTTTTTTTTTTTTTCCTAAATAGCTAAAAATATTTATTTTAATTGTAGGGATTGAATTTTGACCTATTACTATATTAAACAAAATGTGAGAAAATATGACATTTAAACATCATAAAACAATATATATTAAATGTTGTATCAGCCTTCAAGAAGTTATTGGCATACAACAATGTTTTAATGCTGTGAATATACTTTTACCATAATGTGTAATTTGAGCTTTTGTTACCATTTGTATTTTTGGTCATCTCTTCTTCAGCTGTCTCATAAATTTAAGTGGGCTTTCATCTTGTATGGTTAGGAAAATCTAAAAAACAGTGATGTCTTTTATGACAAAAATCTAAATACAATAAAGCAACGAACACAGGTATAAGTGATGAAATGATACCAATATTTTTACTGATTCCAGTATAAATTCCGATACTGTTCTAAATTTCCAATGCAATTCCAATACCTACAATGATTAAAATTCATTATTTTTAGGCCCTACAGTAGGTTTGGGAGACTTAGTGAACAAAGTACATTAATAAAACGTTTAGTAGAAAAATGAATACAAAAGCTTATGAAATAAAGTTAGATATCCTTTTTATTTAAAATATTGGGTAAGAATTTAAACAATAAAGAGAACAATTTCTTTAAGTAAATCACTTAAGTACCTAGCTACTCATATTTAAGTCCTAAAATTCTTAATTATAATGTAAGAACATCATCTCTCCTGTTTCGCCTTTTGGACGATTTCTTTTTGGTAAGTAAATGTCACCTCCAATTCTAAATAACCATTCACTTTCAAAAGAAGAGGGGAGTGCTGATAGATATTTCCTGGCTAAAAGTGCCAGGATGGGAAATTCATTTTGATTTGAAATCCACCAGTGAAAAAACATTATCACTTTTTATATTTTTTCAATGCAATATATTTTGCCATTTCAAGTTTTAATAAATATATTTCTTTGCTTGTTTCACTGACTGCTTTATCCTGTATTCTTGTACACATTTCCTTCATCACTTTTTTCTTTTATTCAGTGAGGCACTTCATAAAACTAAAGTCACTATCATTATCACTTTTCTCTTCAGACATGTTAGAGAAGTCATTCTCCATGCCTCGTGATACTTTGGATGAGGTGTCTGTCTTTCCTTTGGTTATAGAATAGAGATCTTGAGTAAACCATTCTGCAATGGCCTTGTCATTAAGATGGCCACTGTTGTTATTTTCAAGGAAACCAGCAATCTTGAACCTGGGATCAAGATATGTTGCTAGGATAAGATTTTTGTTTTCCAAGTAGCTGTTAAATCTTGTATTAAAAGACACTTTCCATGCTGAAAGGGTTTAACCTAACCCATCAAACAGTCCCTTTTCTTCTCCCCTTTTAAAAATGTGATAAATGACTTTAATTTGTAGTGAGGCACAATAAGAGGCAGTTGCTTCTCTATTACTTAATAAATTTGTACAACTAATGAATTGTTTAAGTATTTTCAGTAATTTCTCTAAAATCTTCCATTGATTGGATTCTAAACAATGTGGTATTGCATGATCACTGAAATATGAGATAAAAGCATTTTTGTTCAAATACTAAGGATATCATCTGTCCAGAGTATTTGAGCAAAAAATGCTGACTGTTTTAATACTGGCTATTCCATCTTGTCTGTACATCCTGAATAAATTTATGATCTGGTAAATTAAATTTTTTCTAATAATTTACAAAAGCTGCAGCTGAGTGATTGAAATGCCCAACTCTTTGTTTACAAATAGAAAGGATATCCTTCACATACCTTTGTGCAAAGATGGCATCATTAATGGTCAATTGCAAGGTGTGTAGAAAACAAGATAATAACTCATATTGGGCTTGTGCAGCTGCTGTTGCCATATTAACCACATTATCTCTTATGAGAACATGAATTTTACTATGAGAAATATTAAATTGCTGTACTGTCTCTGTGATACATTCACTTATACTTATTGCAGAGCTTCACTTTTTTGTTCAAAATCCAATGAAATTTTTCACTTAAAAAGGATAAATTTGCTGAATTAGCGGTCCAGCCATCACTAGTCATAGATAAATGAGTAAGCAGGGTTGATTTCCTCCTTTTAGCTTATTTCTAACCTTCTTATATATATCTTGCACAATATTTTCTTTTATATACTTTCGAGAGGGAATTTATGGTTCAATAGTCTTTTAAATCCAAGATCTTCTACAACGGAAAAATGTTGCAGGTCAATTGCAATCATTTTTCCCAATACATTTATGAATTTTGGGGGCTTTGCTGACATTTATTTCCCAAGTTCTAATTTGGTCAATAACTTCATGTAAAGTTTGTTGCTTAAAAGAGTTGCTGACAAATTTTTTCTGTTTAATCATAGTTGAACAGTCAATAGGCATTTGTATATCACACAGCTGACCACATATGGAGGGAAAAGGGTGATCACTGCCCCCTGTGGGATGAGGTTGAAATAATAGACAGAGTATCATTGGAAAATACCAAAACTTAAGGAATCAGAACATATGCTAGGCTACAAAAATCTCCTGAGCTGACCAAGCATAGAAATGAATACAATATGGGAACCAGTAATAAGGAGTGCTAGAGAAGAGCAATGAATAACAACAAAAATTGCAATATAAGCACTGGTAAAAAAAATGGTTGCTGAGACATTAGGTTTATAAGTCCCAAAAATTCATACACACATGTCCTCAAGAGTTGTGAGTTCAATACCAAGCCATAGCAGTGATAAACCAAACTTGGAGAGTTGAGTTAAAGGGAAATAACTGAAACATCCAGAAGAGGCATTCCATGTGGAACTAGAACAATTTACCCCAGTGGACAAAATAAAAGGTTTGGTTTGAAATTCCAATCACCTGAAGAAGGCCGGACTGGAGTGTACAACGCTCGAAACATTGTGAATATGTCAATGAAGATGAGGATAACTATCAATGATATAAATAATGCAAGTAATCATAATACCTCATCTCATCTTGTTCTGCCTTTTGAATTTCTTCAAATGTCATGATTTTCATGCACTTCTAAAAAGTGACATGTAAACAATGTTTCAAATGTTCATTTTTTTAAAAAATCTTATAAGAGAAAGAGTCACCTTCAATTTATTTACAGATTTTGACTTCTGCTTTCAGTGCATCATTAAATATCACACCTTTAAATGTTTGGATTATATGGTGAAAAAAATCTCATTGAAAAGTTGAGTAAATAATGACTTAAAATATTTTTTCTTACCAGTTTTATCAAGTTAAAATGTTTTGCATTGCAGATTGCTCGAGACTCCAACCCAAATTGGATGACAGCTGTTGAAATACTTGATGATGAAAATTTCTTAGGAGCTGAAAATTCTTTCAATTTATTCACCTGCCAAAAAGATAGGTAAATAGACATTTGTGTCCATATAAAAATTCAGTTTCATGCCTTTTTCTTATACATTGTTTATGCCATTTGTTCTGCTTGTTGTACAGCATTTACTTGCCTGAAGCTGTTGCACTTTTGAGGAAAATTAGGCAACTACTGTTTGACTCTGGTTCAAATAAAATTTTCAAGACTAATACCAACTTTTCATTCTCTAATATTACTATTACTTATTGTATTTGGAGAATTTGTCTTTGGAATTAAAACACAACTGTCATTTTTTATTTTTATTTTCCATATTTAGTAGGTTTCTATTGTCTGATCTTATTTTGTGTGGGACAATGGCTGAATTTCATGGTTGCAATTTAACTCTTGATTTTTGCAAATGCTTTCAAGAAATAGTCACCGATAAAATTTTAGAGTCTATTGAGAAAACTTGGTTTTCTTCAAAAGCTTTATTATATGTTGAAATTCTGCATAGCCATTTTATTTGAGGAAAAAACACTTGCAGTATTTTACAAATGATATTTAGATGAATATAAGGATTATAATATCTATGTAGAATATCCAGATTTTATGTAAAAATTAACATCTAAGAATAAATATACCTCATATTTTGATACTTGTATTCATTTCTAAAACACTTTAGTTTGTCTCTGTTTTTGTTTTTTTTTTTGTTTTTTTTTCCCTAAAAGGAGTGACTTTCATATCAGCAGCAGTTTTTGTTTTTATTTATATAATATGAAAAATCTTTCTTGCTAAGGGACTCTGAAATATTAAAGTATCCATTCTTGGTTGTTCCACACATCTTTTTTTTTATTTATATATTTATTTTTTCTCTTTTTTTTTTTTTTTTTTAACAAAAATTGTTGTAATCCCAATTATTAAGCTTATTTGACTTGCATGAAATTTTTTGCATTCAGTAGAAGGACATTTGCTTGTGGAAAGTTGTTTTTTCTCATTTGTTTTGTTTATATTTTCTTGACAGTGCTGCAACAACTGATGAAGAAAGACAGCATTTACAGGAGGTTGGACTTTATCATTTGGGAGAATTTGTAAATGTATTTAGACATGGTAAGTGATATGCTTTATTAGTTTTAATATCCTGCCTCTCACATTTTCCTTCAAATCCCACCCTAACTCAATTGCAATTGACTAATAAACTATTGAGAAAGGCTGTAGAATCAATATATCTAACTTTCAGCTCATATTTGAAAGATACATGCTTCTTAATTAGTCATAACATTTGGATCCTGTTACATACACAGTCAAAACATTTTCTATTTTGATGAAATGCTTAATTATGAATGATTTTACAGGAAGCTTCTTTCACAGACAGACATATAATTTGCTAAACAATTTTTTTTCTTTAAAATAGGATATATAATAAATTTTACTTTAAAGCAGAAGTTAGTACAATTTTTTTTTATTATTTTTACTGACTGCACCAAGTTACTTCAAAGTTTGATTCCAATTTCAACTTCACACCTGTGCAACTTGCTAATCATTATAATTTTGTTTTTAGAAATATCTACTTGTTTGATTTATTGTTTGGAAGGAGTGTTGTAGATCCTTCAACTTTTTTTTCTTTTTTTTTAAAGCTGAAATGTAAGTATTTAATTTAGATAAAATCTTTCATGCTCTATTCGTATATGCATTTGTAAAGTATGACATGGACATAATATGGGAGAATCTTTTTCATTGCACTTTGAACATTTGCATAATTTAGTACTACATCATTGATGATGCACCTTTTTCAAAATGAAAGAACCATTATTTTTAAATCAACATTTTTTTTTCTTTTCTTCTTATTTAGGATCTCTTGTTATGCAGCATGCAGGTGAAAACTCCACACCCACCCAAGGTTCAGTTTTGTTTGGCACTGTCAGTGGAGCAGTAGGTAAGTGAAGACAATAAGAAACATTTTTAAATGTTGCTGAAGCCATTCTTGTCATTTTCTTAGTTAGCTAATCATATTATATCCATGTTTCATACAGGTCTTGGAAAATTAACAGGGCCTTTTCCAGGGCTTGAAAAATCCTGGAAAAACAGCAATAGCCCAAAATCTCCTTGAAAAGTCTCGGAATTTTCTAAATTGAGTTGTCCAATTTTTTCTCTTTTCATGAAAGTCAAATAGAAAATCCCAGAAATCTGGCTTTTTTACAAGCTAAAATTGTCCTTTAAGAAAAGTGCTTTTGTTAGTCATTAGTAATATTTGGCAATTATTGCCAATGGTGGTTTGTTTTCTTGATTAGAATGAGTTCATGACCTCGTAGTTACTTCAATATTTTCTCGTCTAGGTGATGAGAAAGAACATGAAAGCATGTCTTCTAGCTGCTACCCTCACTCAGCAAGAAAAGAGGAAAAGCAAAGATAAAAGGTGTCATAGACAAATAAACATCTCTGTCAAAGATAAATTAATTCACACTCATTGAATTTGTAGTTGAAAGGAAAATAATAAATTAATTTACACTAATAAAATACATTTTAGTAGAATCTCAAAAAATTTATCAGTGTTTTTTTAAAATTTGAACAATTGAAGAAATTTTATTCCCATGTCAATTTCAAAAGTAAAAAGTCCTTTTGCTCACTAGTTAACAGTGGATCAGTTCATGCTGAAAAAAATAGACACTTTGTGTAAACTATGTCTAAATTGTTGCCAAAAGTAACAAATTTGAGAATCAAATATGACTCGAAGAAAATGTAACCGGGAAGGATGATAGAATAAAAAATGTGCCTTTTGATGTGTCTTAGGATAGAAAATGTATCTTTGAAAAAATAAGAAAAATGTTATGTTTGCAGGCTAGTAATGACTTGTATCTCTAGCTTGGTTGTAAATGTGAAAAATGATGAAATATATTAGAACTTATTTGGCTTTTATTGCTCAGTTTATATTAAAAGTTCAATTTGGCAACCCTGTCCCTTTACTTTTGTATTTCTGCCAGAGAACTTAATTAAAACACAGAAAAATGTCCCCCAGACGAAATCCTTCTCTGTGGTGCTGTCAAATGTGAATGATGTTTTATTTCCAGTGAAACTGCAGTCTGTTTTGAAAGACATTGAACTGTTTCTGATAAAATATCAGTGATAAACTGTTGCTTCCTTTCCTTGCAGATAATCTTTTTAGTATGATCATGAAACTTAAGATTTGTAAAGGAAGAGTATATTAAAAAGATAATTGCATTTTCCAAACTAAATGAATTTGTAAGAATTTCGTTAAACCCAAACATGCATAAAGTTGCTGCAAAGATTGAGTGTGGACTTCTAGCAGATGGTGCTATGCAAAATTTATCTAGAAAAGAAAATGTGTCAACAAAAGATCTGTTTGCATGCAGATTTGCAACAATGTCCATCACCATCATTGAGAAACTTCTGGTAAATTCTCCCCTTAGATACACTCTTGTAAGGTCACTTGCATGGCTGAACCCTAGATCCATTTGTGAAAAACAAATTGCCACAGAATATGTCTTTCCCACATGATGGACAGAAAACAAGCCAGCAAGTCTGATTGTGATGACATCATGAGTCAGTACAAAGAGTTTGAGGAGGCTGCTGGAAATATTACTTTCAAGAATTTCAACAAGCATGAAAACCATCTGGACACTTTGTTCTACTCTTCTTGTTCTACTCTTCTTTGTCTAGCAACAAAGAATATTAAAAAACTGAAAAGTTGTTTGCAGATTGGAGAGAGGTTTCTCAGACAAAGAATTTTTCACTGACAATATGAAACAGCAGACTGATTGCACAGTGTATTATCATGGACTATTTGGCCACAGTTGGAGGTGCTGGGAATGTTTCCATGACTAAGGTTCTTCTCTGAAGTGCTTTCATTGCCAGAACATCATACAACCAATACCTTGAGGCTGAGGAGAAAAAGGTAGGGAGAAGCTGGACAAAAACGGAAATCCATGCTTATGAAAATTGAAGAACTGAAGACCAAAAAAACACAAGCTTGAAAATTGCACACAAGATTTGCTCAAATCAGCTGACAGCTATGTGGAGAAAGCTGAGCAGACTCAGAACTTCACACTTATTGCAAAGTCCAATGCCATGCCATGCAAAGGACAAATCTATAGAGATATCAAAATTAAAAGAGGAGCTGAATGCTAAACTAGATGGACTGAAAAAAATGTTAAAATCATTGTGTTCTGTGCCATGAGTAGCAAGGGGTAGCTAAAGTGTGTAGTCTTTTTGTGAAAATTTCTATTTGTAGTTTTGTTCATTAAAACCACTATACATAACTTCACAGGAAATATGCAGCAGTCAAGAATTTTTGTGATGTGTAGCAGTAAAAACTTAAGTGTGTAATTCAAAATTTTCAACTCTAGTAGAACTCCAAACTATATACTGTGTGTAACATAACCAGGTCTGCATTCAGCACTTTGATTTCTTCGCTGCTTCCAACTAATCCATGTGACATGAATTATTGGAACGAGCTGTAGCTTTTCTTTTAATAGTTTGACAGATGAGATGTTCAAAGATAAATCACAAAGTTTGTATTTTTGAAATTGATAGCCATTCACTTTGTGCCATGTGTGTGCATGCATGCCACACCAATTACAGTCCTTGAAACTTCTTGACATAGTCCTAGAATTTTTTTTACACATATCTGTGGGAACCTTGTGTATCATTCAATGTTTTATGTTTGAACCTCAAATTCTCTTTGGTGCATACAGAGAATTTGATTTAAATTCTTCACTGTACATTTAAGTTTATAGATTCAGCAGTCTGCATTATAAACAAAAAAAGTGACTGAATTTCCTGCTACATGGCATGTGCTCATTATTTTAGAAATACTTAATCAAGATTTGGCAAGGAATATTTAAGGAAAAATTAAATTCTTTTATTTTCTAACTTTTTCTCCATTGTCAAGGCTTTGAAGATACAGGTATTTTATCCTAGAAATATTTAAGTGATCAAGAGCATAAAACATTTCAATTTATTAGCCTATACCAAACTTTCTAGGGTGAAATAAATAAAAATTTATATATATATATATATAATTTTGTTTAATTTTATATATTAAACAGTATTTAGAAAAATATGAAAAACTGGAAATTTTTTTTTTTTTTTTTTTGTGATGTTTTATCTGTTAGGCTTTCATCAGACTGGGCTTTGTTGATGTTGCCATGACTACATGTGCACACAAAATGAGTTTCATAATTAAAAAAAAAAAAAAAAAATTTTCTTGAGTTGAAATTTTTTTTGTATTTTCCTCAATCTAGCCAAAATCTTGTATTTTTTTTTTTTTTCTCTACATCATCTTTGTCCCTGACCATCCCACACTGTGACAATAGAAAATCTACAAAGAATAGTGATAGAGCCTGCACGGAAATTTGTGGCTCATTATATGACAGGAATTGTAATGGTTAATCTATTCACAATAGAAACTAACTACTATTTATGATAGTTAATGAACACAATGAGTTTATTAATCCTCTTACAGTGAATTTTAATGCATTGGATTTTTTAGAAAAATTAAGCTTTCCTTCTCACTTTTTCTTTGCTTCAAATATTTTCAGTTTTTAATGTTTAATTAATTCTTACTTTTGTTTATCTGTCATGGTCGTTCATGTTAAGAATTGTATTCTCTGGTATAATTTTATTTAGTTTAGTGAAAATAAAGTCTGACTTTAAAGTATTAACAATTATCAAAACAAAATAATATTGCTAGCAAAGGAATCTTAAGAAAAACAATATTTTGAGTTAAGCTCAACTCTTTTACTTCCACACTTTCTCCAACCATTTCTCTATCATTTATTGGCATTTTTCTAGATCTGTTATTAAAATATATAAATTATTGAATTCCATTGTTTACTTTTATGTATTGTCAGCAATAAAGAAATGAAGCTTAGGTACAAAGTTTTAGCCTTGAATAAATCAAGGCAAGAATAACTTTGGTTAAATATTAAATTGTGTGTGTTATGCTTTATTTTGCAGGACTTGTTACTCAGTTGCCTGAAAAATTTTTCCACTTCTTATTAGAAGTACAGAAAAATCTTGCAAGCGTCATCAAAAGTGTGGGAAAAATTGAACATTCTTTGTATCCTTTTTATTAATTTTGTTCTTTATTATTAGTTCCTTGTAAATAGCAAATCAGTTGGGATTAGAATTTTTTTGTTTATATTACTGCTTAATGAAGGGTAAAATTCATGTTTGTGAGCGTGGCAATTTTAAATGGCTGATTCAGATTCAAACTTGAATTGGTGTGGAAGGTTTTTTTTTTTTTTTTTTTATCACATTCATTGTTGAAAATGTCAAAATTAAGAAACATACAGTCTAGAATTCTACTGGGAATAAAAATGATAGCAGAGGAGCTTATCTCTACTGCAGAAATAAATGGAATGCTTTAAAAAAAAAAAAAAAATTATTCTATACCAAAATTTCAATGAATCAGAATTTGTTATCCATATTAATATTTTTCTTAATTGTAACCAAAGTGTGGAAGAGAGAAATAGAAAGTATGTGTTTGTTTACTTTGAGTGCTGATCGTTTTGTTACAAGATAATGGATTATTTCCACATCCTTAACAGATTGTCTCAGTTGGCGATCATTTCACACTGAAAGGAAAACAGAACCTGCCGAAGGCTTTATAGATGGAGACTTGATTGAGAGTTTCTTGGATCTTGAAAGGGACAAAATTGAGCAAGTTGTGCAAGGACTAAAGAGTTCACACACTAAAGTAAGTTCAGCATCTATACTTAAATTGTAGAAGAATTCAAAAGTAGACATTCTCAGCAAAATGCATCATTTATTACTTTTCAACTTTGTCTTGTTATCTTCCCTTTTGTTGTGATTCTATTATATATTCTATACATACACAACAAAAAAAAAAAAAAAAAAATCCTGTTTGATTCGGTCTGCTTTACCACTCATCTACACAGCCCTTTTGAGGAAAGCACATCTCCTCACTAAGATATGTTTCTCAAAAGCCCAGATTTTCATATTTCAAATATAAAGCCATTTCTCTATAATTAAATTTCTCAATACATTGGATTTCTAACATCTGTGCATATCTAATTTATTAAAACCTTCAAAGAAGTTTTAATGAATTAGTAACTCCCTCTTGGCATGTGTTTTCTACGTCTGAAAAGAAAGTTACTTCTGGAGAAAAAGGGTAAATATTCTACATAATATGCTGAAGATGGAATATCCAAAATAGAAACAAATCTGTCACAGGTGTTGCCATAAATGTATCTCGGACATGCTCATATTATGTGTCCTCTTTCACTTGTCAACCAATGAAAAAATTGTTCTGTCAACATAAGCAATTGTTGTTGTTTTCGAATGGGGGAGATAAAAAAAACATTTGTTTACTCTACCTCATCCGTTGGCTGGTGTATTGGGATTTGTGACATAGGACTTGTAAATCGAGATTTCGACATTTCTTTGTTTCCCTGGATCTGCAATTTTGGACTTCCGATTTGTTTACTTCATTGTGGAAGTCAAATTTCTGAACAGGAATTTTATTCCGAGCTCAATGAAAATGACTACTTGATTTGTTCCTTGGCTCTTGAGCATTAAAACTGTTCACTTGGCAATTCAGATCATGCTGTAGTATTTCTTTTGAGTCATCTATTAGACATGAACCTATTGGGATTTTTTTCATGATGCCTCTTCGATTGATATTTCTAACCTCCCTCTTGAGAATTAGGCCACTGAGGTTTTTCCTTGGGTAAAAACTGACATCAATGCTTTTGTGCATTCAGAAATTTCTCTTTGATTCACACCTGACTGTTCTGCCACTATAGCACACAAGAATCACTTTTTTTTTTTTTTTCTAGCTGTACTAATGTGATAGTACTCTTCTTTTTTTGTCTTTTGTTTGTAATGACAGCCTCTTTGAACAAAGACTTTGTAAATGTGTCCTCAATGACAGAGACACTGAATAGCCTCCAACAAGGTTGGTTCTTATGACTACTGGCAGTTCTGTAATAGTGTTGAATAAGTCTTATCCCTTCACTCAATTTGAGATGTTGATATATTTTGCTTGTAAATTCTCTTCCAATTTTACTCTTGACTCATCTTTACATTTAGAACTGTGTCTATATTGAGTAATATACATAGAACACCAACTGTAGTTTCTGGTATAATCTGTGGACAATAGTATCCTTGCAATAATCTAAAATGTGAATACTAGATAATTGGTGATCATGAAAGTTAATTTTATTGTAAACATTAGACTACTTACAATACATTTGATATTACTCTGAATTATTTTCAAGAAAAATTACAGATTCAGCTTTAATTAAAGATTATTTGAAATAGCAGTTAAGAAGGCTTCTTCTAAAGAGTTTCACTATATTTAAAAATCAATAAGCTCAATTTTTTATACATTAAAAAAAAAAATAAATTTTGTTTTGCAGATTGATGATGGGAGTGGAATGAGCAGAGATGCCACAGTGGATGACCTTATCAAAATTGTTGAGGAGTTGACTAGAATTCACTGAGCTAGCCATGAACAATTCTTAAAAAAAAAAAAAACAACAAAAAAACGCACCCCCCTTTTTTTTCCCTCTATAAAAAAGAAAGTTTCTTTTGAAATAGGACAAAAATAAATAAGAGGAAAATTAATTTTTTCCCTTTCTTTGTGTTTAGTATTATTACTGAGTTTTTCTTTATTTCAAATCTTAGCCATGATAAACTGTTTCAATTATGTAAATCATTTTCATGGATTTTTGATTAAGTTTTTCTGTACACAGAATAGAAGTTTAAGAACCCTAAACCTAGAAATGCAATATCATTAGTCATCTTTTAGCAACAATTGATGATAGTGGAACTCAATAGATCAATTACAGTGATTAGAAAAATTCATTAAGAATATAGTGCAATTGCATAAATTTTTTCTGAATGGTTAAACAAAACAAAAACCACTTTAAATTCTGTATTTTATTTTCAATAAGCTTTTAACCATTGACACATATCAAATATCTCTTATGCATACATACACACCCACATTCATTCTATCCGCTTTCCCCACCCACCCTGGCACAATTTTATGTTTTTGTTTTACATGGCTGAATAGCACCAGTTGTTATAACAGCAATAACAGAGGGGACTAGAGAATTGCCAAGAAAACATCACCCCTCACCTTCATGTCTTGAAGCAGCAGAGATGGGAGAGGGGGAAGGAAAAATCCAACATGCTTGCTGATGCTGGTGATATAAGTGAATATCTTCAAGAGTCCAAACTGTATGGCTTTATTTTTATGGACAAAGAGTGGGTAACAAGTATTCTTTTCCAGTCAACAGAATTGATTTTGGAAAGGTCTGCCAAGAAATAAAGCCAGGAAGGGGAAGAAAAAAAAATCTAAACAATTATAAATTTTCAAAAATATTGAAGCTGAAAATTAACATTGGATCTTTGACGATTTTGAGTATTTGCTAACTGAGCGTCTGTTTCAAGCTCAAGAAACAGATGCCCAAAGAGAATTTACATAGTCAATGAACCAACAGTAGTAGGTGAAGGGGGACCTAGAAGAAAAATAGGAAATATTTCCAAACTTATAAGAGTAATTGTTTTATCTTATTCTTAAAAAGACAAGATGAGTTCTGCATAAGGAAAAAAAATGAAGACATTTGTTTCAGTTAAAGTGAAACTGTATAAAATGTAGGGGAAGAAATTATTACTGGTAGGAAAAAAAAAAAAAAAAAAACGGGGTATGAAATTTACTCCCAAATTATTCATTGTGACATTGTAAGTATAACTTATGAAAAAGTAAACCGTCCATTTTCTTCTATTCTAGAATGAATAGAACATTTGGGAATTAAACAGCAGTAATAATCTTTTTCCACATCAGTCACATGTTCAACCAAGCATAGAATACCAAAGACATCAAATGTGACCCCCCCCTTTGAGGTCGTGAGGGGTCCTTGTTATATAATTTGACTTTATCAGAAAATGAAAGCATCATTATTCTAATTAAAAACTAAAAATATATACTTGGCCATCTTATCTTAGATAGTGGAGAATGATGAAATATTGCATCGAGGCTTTTGTTTAAGTAGCTGCAGCATAACCATCACTAGGATCAAATGATCTTGCTATAAACAAATTGTTAATATTTTTTAGTAGTTTTGCTTACATATGTAGATGGTGCTGTCAACCACAACCTTGTTTGACTAATAAGATGCATATCAGTTTAAAAGCAAAGCCAATTAAAACATCTAACGTGGCATGGGAAGGGAGAGTTGGTCCATTAACTTGATAATTTGGTAGATAAAAAGGGGAGGCAGGGAAATTTAGATCCCAAAGCAGTCTACATGATCTGTTTTTCCACTCCATGAATGTAAAATAGACTTGACAATTCCTAATCCTTTTGGAGTAGGAGAGCAAATAACATACATCAACAGTCAGAATGTGTGTGTGTGTGTGGGGGGCTATTTGCAGATCTACACCATGAAAATGTAAACTTTTTTTTTTTTTTTTTAAAAGATTTCATTGGCCAATCTCTAAGAAATTGGTACTTTGTAGTGCAAAATTATTTTAATGAACTGGAATGTAAAAGCCAAACTGCCTTAAAAAAAAAAAAAATTCTACTTGTCCATGTATATTTAATAATTGGGGGTGGGGAGGATGCACGAGTACATTATAGCTGCAAAACTCATAAGGAACTTAATCAGACTCTTCAGAAAATTTCAACAAGGTACTACTAGTAAAAAGGTACTACTAGTAAAAGAAATTATCTTGTTGAATTGATAAATTAATAATCCTAATTAGAAAACATGAAGAGCAAAATAAAATTTAGATATTGATTTTGTAAATAAGGGCGTTTTAAAATTTTTTTTTTTTTATATATCTTAATCTTGTATAGGGCCTTAGATACAAGCAAAGTTTTATCCCTGAGTAAAAAAAAAAAAAAATGTATAACCGAATTATTTATCAAAATGATTCAAGTTGTTTATTTTTTTTTTTTATATTAAAAGAACATGATTGAATAAATAAAAAGCAAGTTAAGCACTGAAAATTTAAGACCAACATTTTCTCATCTTGCTTTAAATAAATAGCTTTTATAATATAGGTAAAAATATGTATATTAAATAGAATTTAATTTTCTCTCTCAAAATACAACTAAATTATTTAAATACCAGGAATGTTCAAAAGAACTAAAAAAAAAAAAATCAATTTTCCTTGCAGACTGGCTTTTATTTCACATATTCAAGTAAGGTTTATATTTTCATGGCAAAAGAGTGGACAAAAATAAAAGCCCAATATGGATTCAGTTAAAATTATTAGAAATTATCTTAACAGAAATTTAAGTTTTTTTGTGCCCTTCCTATGATCAAAAAAAAAAAAAAAAAAAACAACAATCTTCTGAACCGTTTTCATTGGAGGAGACGTTTCTTAAGATGCTTGATGTTAAGAGAATCTGTAGACTTGAAGGCAGACCATAGGAGCCAATATAAATATACACACAACAATATAAATATATACATGTATATTTCCTCTGTTAACTGGAAAAGTTACAATAAGGCTAAAGATGTCATTGCATGCAAAATAGGTGCCAATAATAATTTTTTTGTTTTCTTTTCATTTAGACAGGCTCAATCATCATGTTTTTAATTTTGCTTTCTTTTTTTTCTGTTCTTTTTCTAACCGAATATCTTCAAGATCCTCCAGGATTCCAATCTTGGTACTGAAAGAAAAGAAAAAAAAAAAAAAAAAAGTTATATTTGCTATGGTATCTACTCTTATAGAAACAAGTTCAATATAAATAAACAGATTTAATGCAAAAAAAAAAAAAAAAATTGTGGGGAGGGGGGGGATGAGATGAAAGGTCTGTCTCTTCTTGCATTTGAAAGATACCATCTACTAGGGCAGCGAGCCAATTCCTATTGCAGACACTCAGGTACATTTGTGTTTAACACACAGAGCCCACCTGTGGTTTATACTGTAACTGTGCTGAGCAGGCCTTAGTTACAGTTTCTGGGAAAGAGCGTGTTATCTAGTGTGAACAACAATCTGAACAAGGCCAGCACACGGAAACCCTCGGTCATGATGACTTGGGACTTATATATGTGTTGACACAAAATTTAGTTGCTTCCCCCCCCCCCCAGACATAACTGAAAAGTATGCCACATATTGGTACAGCTTGGCTGAGATGCCATACTCACCTAACCTTGCACCTTGGGATTACCACTTATTTTAGATCCCTTCAAAATTCTCTTAATGAGAACAACTTCCATTCTTTGAAAGCCAGTAAAAATCAGTTTATCACCCAAAACATGTTAAGTTCTGGGAGGACGGAACCATGAAGCTGTCTCAAAGATGAAAGGTAGAATAAAATGGCACACATATTGAATAAAACTATAAACAAATATCCTTGAAATTGCAAAAAATAGCATGACAAACCCAATAGAATTTTTTTTCTTAGAAGAAATTATGCAAATATGTCCTTAAATCTTTCTACTGCAGTAGAATTCAGTAAGCTTAACATATTTGCATAACATTATACAATGTCTGCATTGATCTTAACTGCACAGGTGGTGAAGGATAAATTTGAGACTTCCTTTCTTATCAAACAATTCTTTCTAAACAATTAAGCAGGTATCAGAAAAATTTCATAAGATGCTAATTTATATATTAAATTGTTTAATCTTCATTTTACATGCAATTTAACTATAAAAAGAAAAAAAATTTACATGAAATACTGAATTAACAGGGGAAAAAAAAAAAAAAAAAAAAATTCAAATTATTTACTTGATATGAAATCAGTCTATTGTCTCTTGACTTTAAATTTTGAACTGTAACTTCCATTTTTTTTTTTTTTTTTTTAATAGTTTGTCATTAGTTTTCTTTGGTTACAAACTAAGAAACCACCTTCATGCATCTTACTGAGAAGGCTCCAGAAATTTTTAGATGTTGAGAATTTGCCATTTCTGAAACACATTTTACTCTGGTTGTCCACAGTTGCACATGCAGTGAATGAAAGTGCATTGTCTGAAGATAGGCCTTCTACATAAAACATGGCTAAAAATCATCCTTTAAAAATTTATTATACCTGAGGAATCATTTTTGAACCTTGTTAGGGACAAAAATGATTCCTCAGGTATAAGCAGTGGTTTTAATTGGATTAATTTAAATTCATTTTACTTGAAATTATAGTTATAAAAAGTATATAGGAGTATCCAGGATTTTATAAGTACAGGACTAGTACATTAATGGACAGGCAGCCTGCATATAATAAGCTATATTTTCACACAAATCATTGGTACAATAAGGTTTTGAAAACTAAAGTTATTTCAATGTTGTTAAGCTTATCTGTGTGGCAGAATACAATAGGAAGTTTAGAGTTGAAAGATTGGATGTTGTGTGGTTGGCTAAGAAAGGGGGGGGAGTATTTTTTCTTAATGAGAAATAATTTTTGGTTCGATTTTTACATGGTGATGATTCACATCCAAAATAACAACTTGTTCAGGGAATACCTGTATTTTTTTTTTAAATATTATTCCATGCAAAACCACCAAGACACAAAGGGTTAGTGAGTGTAAAAATATAAAAACATTAAAGAGTGAGAATAAAAGAATGGAAATTAAGACGAGAATCAATATTGATATTCAAAAATTTAAACACAAAGTTGATTGGAAAGTAAGAAGCCAGAAGATAGGTTCACAAACAAGTACAAGAAGAAGAAAAAAAAAAAAAAAAAACAACTTACAGTTACATGTAGCCATTTCAACTGTAAAATGATGAGGCTTTGCTGCCAATCTAGCACTGCACTTAAATTCATTAAGTCTAGGTATTATAGAAGAGTTCATCATGACAATTACCATGAAAATATAGAAAAGGCACAGGGAAGCTACATTACAGCAGTGGGAAAGCGACTGAAAATGAGATGCCAGATAAGAATCAATGACATTGCAGATTCTTTTTGCATTTCATCAAAAGGTAAGGGAGCAATATTCTAAGCATGGATGATTGGTAGATTTGTAAAATATGTAAGCTAGATTCAAGAGAGAAAAGTTGTCTACTATGACAAAGTGAATCCTAGCAAGTGATTAGATATTATCTTATCACTTTATGTCAATGAAAAACAGCCTGGGAAGAGGCACTGAATCACTCGTGTACATCAGCATTAGCCATGCTGATGGAAGGTTTCTCCCTGACAATAGAGAGCAGTTTCATTTTGGAGGCAGTAAAATTAACAAATCATTCCTTGTCTCAGTTAACAGAATGTAGGTCATTTTTAGATCAGCTGCAAATTTGACCTTATTGAATCAGACTTACTATTAATGACAGGAATAAATAGTTGTGTCATTAACATAGATACCAAGTTGAGAATTGATGCCATCAGGAAGGTCAAATGAAAATGTGGAACAACATAGGTCCTTGGATAGAACTCTGGGTGACGCCTGTATTAATGTAAAAAGATCAAGAAAAGAGTGGCCAATCAAGACAATTTTCAATTCATGATTTGATAAGAATCACTGAATCAGTTCAAAAATTCATCTAGAAATACTGTAACCTTTCAACCTGTGAAGACCAGTATGCCAAATCCTGTCAAAATGCTTTCAAGATATCCAAAAGCAAAAGCCTGTGTTTCACCATTCTTATCTAAAGCATAATAAACTCTTTCTGCAATAATCATTAATACATCAGCAGTTGACATTGAGAAGCAAAAAGCATATTGCTTATATAAAAGATCCTGCAAGGTGAGATGTTTAACCAATTCCAAGTTGATTAGGGCCTATAGTACTTTGCCAAAAAGAGTTAGAAGGCTAATAAGCTGATAGCATACTTAAGAACTGATTCTTCTAAGTTTTCCTTTTGCCTATATATATATATATATATATATAACTGATTGTGTGTTTTCCCGAGATACAGCTTAAATGATGCATAACTCCAATTTAAAAGCATATTATACCTTGAACCCATACAGAGTGCCATGAAAATTTATTAGGATGTGCAGGTAGTGTATTGGTTATCAATATTTTGAGTAAGAATCCTTTGTTAGTCAAATTATGACTTGGCTGTTAAAATAATTTTAAAATTTCTATAGAATAGCTATTAAACAACAAAGAGACTTTTTCAATATCAAACTTAGCATTTTTTCATCTGACATACACCCCCCCCCACACACACACTTTCAGAGGCTACTCGGCAATTGAAGTTGTGTATTTTGTCACTAGCATTAGTGTTTAAACTCAAATAAAATACAGAATTCCAAATGCTCTTTCCGCGTGGACAATGAACACAACAGAATCTCTTTCTATCCATTACCTGTGATAAAGTAAACAACATAAATCTTGTAGTGAGTGGGAAACACAATAATTCACTTCACTCACTCCCTTCAAATAGGAAGGAGGAGGAAAGGAATTTGTAAACCTATGTGAATTTATTTTGGGACCAATGAAAACGGAATTTCAGTGGTCAGCTGAGAAGAAAAAAATTTGCAAGTCTAAGCAAAATTCCTTTCGATATAAAATGAAGAGAAAAATTAAATTAATCATAGAAAAGTGAAGTCATGTGAAAAGTTTCATTTCTGTTCATCATGACCAGTGTAAAATTGGCCTCTAACTAGCACACGGCACTTCAAAAGAATTTTCTCTCAACAATCCAAAGTATTTCAAACTCTTTCATTGTCTACTTTTGAATGTATGCAAACCATTTATCCCTTCTGTGAGCAACAAACTTATCTTTGCTTTAAACATTTTTGACTTATTTTGTGGCAGATCATTTAATCTGTTGTATGGACATTTCCTCCTCATGTCAATATGCTAAAACTAAAGACTTTAAAAACTGATTTATTTTCCCAGAGACAAGCTACTGACACTCACTACTTTGAGCATGTAAATTTGTGAATAAATTCCTTGTCTTGTTTTGTTAAAATTACCCATGTGTTTCCTTATCAATCTTCTTTGGCATGGAGGTAAATCAACAGATTCCAAGAGAATATGGTTAGACAATATTTTCCCTTTGATTTTTTTCCTTTTCAAACTTTCTAAAATCAAAACCTTAGCTTTTAAAAAGGGAATTTTATTGTTCTTTACCAAGAATAATATTTTGTAGATAAAAAGAAACACCGACCTTCTAATCTCTTCCTTCATCTGTTGAGCAAAACTTGTCTCCATATTATCATCATCGTCGTCATCATCCTGGAATCTGAAAAATTAAAAAAGGAACATTAGAAAATTTAACCAAAGTTAAAAATCTATTCTAAAGATTAAATTTTTTTTTTTTTTTTTAATTTTATGGAAAAAATTAAAAAATGTGGCTAACATAATTCAAATTTTCTTTCCGAATTTATGATTGTGTTTTTTTTTTGTTTTTTTTAAATCAGAGCATGACAAGGACAAATTAGAACAGCTATAAATATTATTTGTAAAAAGGTTTAAGAATATCCACATAATGCATGAGTATGCAATTTAGAGATGATGTATTGATTTCAAGTTGTCTAAATGAATGTTGCCAAGTTTCTTTAACAAAGATCATTTTAGCTGGAAAATGACAAACTTGTCTTTCTCAGGAAAGGGGAAAAAAAAAAAAAAAAAAAAAAATGCCCCAAAAGTTTTATTAAACCCTTTGTTATTATAAAGACCAAAAGATTTTTTGATTATTAAATTATATTCTTAGATACGTTTTAGAGTATTTAAAAAAAAAAAAAAAAAAACAAATATTTTTGCGTCGGAAGGGCGATAATAGGAAATTTTAGCAGATTTTTTTTTGGTGAAAAACACTGATTTGGAAATACTTGCAAAAATCAAATAGTTTTTAATAAGTTTCAGGGCTTATTCACAAATGAATGAAATTATTGAATGAAATTTTAGAAATGTTTCTTTTTCAGATTTTTTTTTTTTTTTTTACACACATCTGTTACACCCACTTCTTTACTTTTAGGAAATTAATTAAATTTTGTGCTACTTAATGTTTATATTAGTATATGCAGGACCCCTTGGAGAATTTAAATTAATTTTTTTTTTTTTCCTGGTAAAACAAGACCCCAAGTTATTAAAAGTCTACACTGAATCATAAAATAAAAAGTGTAATAAAACCAAGACATTTCATTAGGAAAGCTTTTGTTTTTATGAATAAGATATAGACACTATTGTCTTGAGAAAAAAAAAAAAATAAAGATAAAAACTTTTAGTGTTTGATATCTAAATTTAATGAATACATTTAAATAGAAAATTTACTTGGATTGATTGTCAAAAGAATCCTCCCCACCCCAGTCTTGCACATGTGCACATACATATTTTTAAATTTTCCTAATAAAAGTAGGAAGCAGACTTACTTTCTTCGATCGTATCCAAAAATCTCCCTGATACATTTGGAATAATTGGATGAGTATTCATCCTCAATAGGCTCATCATCAATGAAGTCTGCCATTTCTTCTTCATCCTCCTCATCACTGTCTATCACTCGTTTACGTTTCACTAGAGAGAGAAAAAAAAATAAATAAAAAAAATCTAATTTTTGGTCTGAGAAAAAAGGAACAATATTTGTATTTTTGAACACTTATTCAGCTTTTCTATAAAACAAAAAACACACAAAAAACCCCAAAAAAAAAAAAACCCCACAAAAAACAAAAAAAAAACACAAAAAAACCCCCAAAAAAAACAAAAAAAAACAAAACAAAAACAACACAAAAAAACAAAAAAAAACAAAAAAAAAACAAAAAAACAAAACAAAAAACAAAACAAAAAAACAACACAAAAACAAAACAAAAAAACACAAAACAAAAAAACAACACAAAAAACAAAACAAAAAAACAACACAAAAAACAAAACAAAAAAACAACACAAAACAAAAAAAACAACACAAAAACAAAACTCAAAAAAATTCAAAACTTGTCCAAAAAACAAAACAAAAAACAACACAAAACAAAAAAATTTTATCTTGTTCAGTTCAAAATTTTTTAATATTATTATGCTAAATAGAGTTAACAGCATGTGGAATCTGTGTGTGTTGTCCACTTTCACAGGATGTTCTGCCTCCCCAACTCCTGCAAATGCGAAAGATCAACAATACTTCATTGATGGACCTGCCTTGTAGGTTAAGGCAATAATGCATTTTGCATTGACACCAAGTCAACAAGATTCTGAAAGCTAGATTTTCAAGGTAAAGATTTGGATAGCTGGTACAACAATTCTTCTGTTACTATTTCCACTTTATTATTATGACCCCCTACTTTAAGTATTGTGCCATTTAGCAAGAGCAAACAGTGTTTCTAATTACTATTGTAATTATCTATTCACTAGGTGCTTCTTTATGGCAGCAAATGTTGGACGATTTCCTCAAAGATGAAGAGACTAGAGGTGAAGAAGGATGCTAAGGATATCATGGATCGATCATGTGAGCAACGATGAGATCTTAAAGCGGATGCAAACAAGGAGAATGCTTATACTTAACGTCAGGAAGAAGCAGCTGAAGTTTCTGGGATACATAACGAGGAAAGAGTGCTTGGAGAATCTGATGCTCACAGGTCAAATAGAGGGAAAGAGAGACAAGGGAAAGCAGCACGTGACCTACCTCATGAGCTTGAGTAGGTAGATGACAGAATATGGTCTGGGGAAGGAAGCAGAGGAAAGGAACTTGCTGAGAGCTGCAAGAGATAGAGGGAGGTGGAGAGCCATAATTGCCCATATCCTGAAAGGCACATAAAAAGAAAGAAAAGGTGCCCCAGACTTGTGGTCATGTACTTTACTATACTTTATAAATCAATAGACCTACCTGGTTTTTTGACCGGATTAGACTTTTGTATTTGGTTATAGATCCTGTCCCATGCTGATGTAGGCTTTTCTGGTTCTTTCTCAGCTGGACGACAAATGAGAAGATTATTGTTTTCAACGGTGTACTTGGCAGAACTCTTACTTGATGTCTGTTTGTTCTGAGAATTGGTTGTATGGTTTGATGATGATGATGACGATGAGGATTTCTGGCTAAAAGATTTTGAGACTTTTTCCTTGGCACTTTCTTTCTGCTTCAACTTCTCCTCCAGGGCTTTATATTTCTGTTCAAGGATTTTGTATTTATCAGCCAAATCGTCTTCATTTTTGGATTTAGATAAAACTTTACTGTCTGAAGTGGATGCTTTTCGTTTGTGATCCCCGTTCATAGACTCTTGTCGTTTTTTTTCTGAAGAAAAATAGTCTGAAGTTTTTTTATCTTTTTTGACGAGGTCTATTATTTCTTTTTTCCGAACCTTATCTCCCCCAGATTTTTTTAGATCTTCTGTTGGGCTCTCTGACCGCTCAGGACTGACACCATATTTGTACCATTCCTTGAACTGTTTAGAGGTCATCCTTTGAAGCCTTTCTTTCTCATCCTGTGTCATTGGACGATTGTTCAAATTTTTAGTATTCGGGGTAGTGACAGCTGTAATGGCTTTAGGATCGGAAGCTTTTTGTGATGCCAGTTTCATTAGAGAATTAAAGTCTAACGGGGGTGGTCCCTTGGTCACTGGTTTCTTTGTGGCAGTTTTACTAGAATTTTCCAGTTGGTTTGAAACATTGATTTTATATAGGGGTCTGGCACCAGCAGATATGATTGATGTTGAAGACTTTACAGATTTTTCATTTGATAATGAAGCCTTTGGTCCATCAGAACCACTTTTGGGTATTTTAAAACCTTCTTTCTTTGATTCAGCTGAAAATAAAAAATAAACATGAATATGATAAAAATTTTCAATATCTGCTATCAAAATTAGTTCGATAAAATCAGTTGAGATTGAAATACTTTGCAAAGGATTTACTTATCAACTAATATCAGTTTACAAGTTTAACTTACTAAAATTAATATAACCAAAGTGACTAAAATACAAAATCTTAGGAAAGAAAATTAAAATTTAGAAAAGTCAAAAAATTTTTTTAATAGCAAAAAGTTGGAAATTAAATTTTTTTTTTTTTGTAAAATACAGAAGCATTTTTAACCCTTTGGAGGCTAAAAAGAAATGTCTTACCACCACCACCATCATATGCACACACAGACGCCCCGTGGCAGTGAATTGAATTCAAGACAATTCATAGATAATGAAAGCAGTGAAAGCAATGTTCTGGAGCAGTTGACAAGATATTTTGCCAATCTGAGATCAAAAAAAAAAAAAAAATATCCCTATTCCAAGTACTTAACTAACACAAGATTTGAACCCATAACCTAATCATATTAGCAAAATGAAAAATATTTATTTTTATGATCAATAACTTACTCTTTAGAAATTAAGTTTTTCCTTGAAATTTCCTCATATTACAAATGTACTTTATTTAAAATTTGATTTCATTATGTATATTTTTTTTTATGCTGATCAAAAATGTCACAATGTTCAGTCTATATTAAATTTGATGACATGCTTTCCATCCACAGAAAAATTACATTTAATATTACAGCAGTAGAGGGTTGAACTAAGTACAAATAATTGTCTGCCAGATCAAGTTTTGCATAAGATTCCCTATTTACATTTAATCTATATGGAGTTTGGTTACATACAAGAACTGGTAGCATATGTTGGCTGGATAAATATTCTTCCATTTCAAATATAGGGATTAGCATATTTTTTTCAAGACATTTTTGTGATGGTAGTGTGTCTTTATATGCCAAGTCTTTCTAATGAAATGATAAAAATAAGAAAACCATTTTAAAACAAGACAAATTTTGGAGTTGTATTATTGATATTATGAAATAAGAAAAAAAAATAAAAAAAAAGTTTATTGGAAATTATAAAAAAATTTGTTCTTATAAAAGGTTTTATATGTAAAAATTTCAAGTACAGCACTGTTCTGCCTTTCATGTATGTATACCTCAAGACAGCTAGATAAACAGTTAAAAGTTTAAGAACAAGGTCCTGTTCATCAGCAGGTTTTTTGAAAGCCAAAAGGAGTGAAGTGGCAATGCTATTGTAGAGGGGGGGGGGGATTTAGGAGGAGAAGAAAATATGAACCAAGAGCTTTGAGCCTGTGTTTTTTATTGTGCTGGTTCTGGTGATTTCTACAAGTTGAACAGGAAATGGACAAAAATAGTGAGTTATCTAAAATGTACCTAAATGAAAAAAAGGAACAAGCAGAAAATAATACAGTGGTCCTGTACTGGGTTAACAAAACAAACATTTGTAATACAAGGCAAAGGTTATACATTAGGAAAAAAAAAAAAAAGATTGTAGATGTTTCTATAGATTACTGTGCCAGCAGTCTCATGTAGACAATACATTCATTGATAAAGAAAATTCATAATTTGAGATCCTTTGAAAGGAATTTTGACACATTGACATCTTGGGTCATTTGGCACCCAGCTCCATTTCTTTTTAAAAATATAAAAGTCAAGATTATGTTTTTGATACTTCCTGTATATAGCAGAACTAAAATGGTTTTCTAAATAGATCACTTAGTATACATTGGCAATATAAAAAAAAAAAAAAAAAAAAAAAAAAAAAAAAAAAAATAGTTTTTACTTCGAAAAACACTTTTCCATTGGAGCATTTTTCCTAACATACAAACTGAAAAGAAAAGCGTTCTTAATAACCCCCTCCCAGACAGAGGGGAGAAGAGTGTATATGAATATAAAACATTGGGAGAGAGAGGCTAATTAGTTTACACATCACCAATTGACTTCAGTAGCCATGACAGAGCCCTCAAAATTAGGAGAAAAAAGAAAAACCACAAGAGGTTTCATTCAAATTAGCTAAATAACTTTCAATATTTTATTTGTATTATAATTGAGCATATCTAATGAAGACATACAAGATTATCTTCACTTACATTTAATATATTACACCATTAGGAAGTTAGACCAGGTCAAAACAATGCTAGTTTACAGTGTTTGGGCAAATATTAGCCTACCTACCAGATGCCTTATTATGCATATAGGACAATGTTATATGTCACCCAACAATGACATCTTTTCTCAGATTCATTTCATCAATTTGTCAGTCATTGTTTCAATCCAACAGTGCCAAGACATTGTAAAATCTTAGTTTCAGTTTGATTGTCAATGTTGTTCATTTCCAATTCTAAGATATGGAATCACCAATAAGCAATATCACAGATTCATAATCACAAAGTGATTGTGTGAAGAAACCCCCTTCAGATTTTGCTAGCATGTCATTTCTAATTTTCATTTTTTTGTGTTAAAATTATTTTAATACATAAAATGTCCAACTGAGATTAAGCCAACCAAGAGATTTCTCTTCAGATAGAAAAACAGCAATAAAATTCAGATATTTGGAACAAAGTTATAGAATCTGTAGAGAGACTACTTTTGCCAGGATTTTTAAATCCTTTACTTTCATGAAAGAAAAAAAAAAAATTGTTAAAGTGATCATCTGCCACTAAGTCACTTGACCACTTTCTCTTCAGACACAGGAACAGCCAAGAATCATTTGTAACAAATTTGAAGTTTAGATAAAGTCATAAAATTTTAATATTCAAGGGACTCTGAAATTTCATTCAAATAATCAGTGTTTTGATAACTTAGTGGATAACTTCCACTTCTTGAAATATATATATAAAGCTGTAGCAATTTGCCATTAAAAATACAAAAAGCAAAGCAATTTAGAAATATTACCAAAGGTTTATGTGTGTGATTATTAAGTAGGAATTGGTCTTTATTTATCAATTCAATTTTTTAAGCAGTCTTGAGCTTTATATCAAATGACTTTTTCTCTTCACACAAACCATTGCTAAAGTAAAAATTGAAAAAGCAAAAAAAAAAAAAAAAAATCAAAAGAAAAAAAAAACAAACTAAATCAAAGCTGTACAAAGACACATGCTTTTTTTTGAAAGAGGAAAAGAAAAACAATTCCATTGATGTTAGGATAAAAATTGTGAATTATTAGGCAAAAAATGAAAATAAAACAGATTTTACATAATTATTTTCTAATGAATAAAAAGCAAATGAAATATGAATTTAGATAAGAAAATTGACTATCAATACTCATGTCATTAGTTATGATAATAGTAGGTTTTAATTTTATTGGTAAGACAGACTATGAATTTAAGTGCAGTACTAGATTAGTCTTATTTTACAGTTGAAATGGCTAGATGTAACAATTTACATGCTGGCAGTTTCTTCTCTCACACTTCTCACATGTGGAAGTCTTCTGCCTTCTTGCTTTCCAGCCAACTTTGATCTTCAAAAATTTAAATGCAATGTCAATCATTATCCACAGTCTTAATTCCTGTTCTTTTATTGTACTCACTTAATATTGTTTTTTCTTATATTCTTTCACACTCAGTAACCCTTTGTGACCTAGTGGCTTTATTGTCTTGCTTGAGTGAAATGATTAAAAAAGGAAAAAGTAATAGATAAATTTTAAATACAATAATTTTTATATTATCAAATGTTTGATTTTTGTCAATGTAAAAAAGGACTAATATGGTTAAGTAAGATGTGTTTAGGATTAAGTCGGGTAACATAAGCTTATAAAGATTGATCACTGAAGTGAAATCCTCTTTACTATAGAAACAAAAAGATTAAAAAAATGAATATTTGAAATTTTATAAAATTTACTAACACCTAAAAACATACAGTATTACTAAGAATCAACAGATGTGAAATTCCCCCATTGATCTTCCCTTTGGTCCAACATTCAGGATAATTGCTTTCCACTAGGATCATCCATAGTTGTTGAAATCTGTTGAAAGTTTTTGTTTTACAGACATTGTATCTGCACTTCATATCTAACCATATTTGTACAGTTTCAGGAGATCTGGTTTTGAATTAACAGTTGTCTTTATCATAGACTGGTTATCAATCATGGCTAGTAAACCCAGTTTTCTCTAATATTTAACCTATAGTTGCATGAAGAAGGAAGAGCCATACCCCACCCCCAGTATATTTGATTAAAATTAAATGTAACAAACTGAATGCAAGATAAAATTAAAATGTAAAAAGAATTGCAATTAGAAAGAAATAGTGAACAAAACAATAAAATTTCCGACAGGAAAAATAATTTTTTTTCATCCCAATATTTAAGGTGTATAATTAAATGCACTATATATATAACTAGGTGTATGAATATGAAGATACACAAAGATTCTTACTTAGAATTCAAAGAGACTGATCCAAAATCAATAAGCAACACCTTGGCCAAAGAAAGATGCAGAAACATTTACTAACTAAATATTGTCACTTTAAAGAAATTGTACAGTGAAATCTTACATGCACTATGGTTTAAATGCTTAGCTAGTGGTGATGTCATGTTTCCAATAGTAATATCAGCTATAAAAAACAAAAGGCAGTCATTTATTACTGAAACACTGTCATGAAAAGTGGCATGACATCTGTTTAATATGCATAAAAAAAAGCTAAGAGCAAGGCTCAAGTGAACTTCAGTCAGTAACTTTTTTTTCATACAGCTTTCTAGGCAGAATACTTTCCAATGATTCAAGTAAGCAACCTTTGATAACACTAACTCACATATCTAACTATTTCCCAGAATTTTGTTTTGGGATAGCGTATTATGCAACTCAGTTGAGGAAAACTATGGTTACTGATTTTGAAAAAGCAATCATTCTGACTACATGTATCTTTTCTAGAGGAATTGATTCAGGCATTGTCAAGTCCATGAAAGAAGATTCAAGGACATAAGATGAGAGTTCAACTCTTGATTTCTTTATTCTTACTTTATGATATTTAGTTTCATGATCATAAAATATCTACCTTAGAAACAGCAGACCAAATGCCACAACCTATGTATTTAGGGATTCTTGATAAAATCCAAAGAAGAATCTGTAATGTTATCAGTTCTGACATCTCAGCTTCAATCACTTTCCCTGTGCATTTTCTATAAATATTTTCATGGTAATTGTTCTGATGACTCATCCTCTTTGATACCTAGATTTTCTGAATTTAAGTGCAGTACTAGATTGGCAGCAAGGTCGTTTTGCTTCTGAAATTGCTAGATGAACTTTAAGTTCTATGCAAATATTTTCTTCTCTTGCACTTCTCACTTGTGAAACTTTTCCAGTTTCTTGCTTTTCAGTTAACTTTGAACTTTAAAAAATTTAAATGTAATATTAGTCATTATCTTGTCTTAATTCCTGTTTTTTTTTTTTTTTTGTTATTCTCTCCTTAATGTTTTTTCTTTTTCTCATCCTTTCACAGCAACTCCATGCATCTTAGTGGCTTTATTGCTTTGCTTGGGGTGAAATGGTTAAAATAAGAAAAAAAAAAATAAAATAACCAACAATTAATACTGAAAATACTTCTCAAATGTACATATTTTAATAATTCAAGGCAGAATTTTTTTTTTTAGATGAGGAATTATATATATATATATATATATATATATATATATATAACTTTCCTATTTAATCTAGAATATTCTCATTTTGGACATTGTACCCTAAATAAAGAGATCTTTTAGCAAAAAATTTTCAAAAAACATAGAATAAGTTTTATTTCATACTTCAAGACATTTTTAAAAAGGTAAATGTAAAATTAGCAGCAGCAATGCTATTTAAAAAAAGAATGCATAAAATAAACAATACTCTTAAATTCATGAATATTCAAATAACATTCTCCTGGCCTCTATCCAATTCTGACCACCCACTGAATATTACTTACCACATCTAACCAAAATGCTCATATATTTATTCAATGAGGAACAAAACTATTAATATCCTTAACAAAATAGGAAGAAATGATTTTCAAAAGGTAGGGCATTTTGTATCACTTTTATCATGAATAAACTTTGTCTATTTATTGTTGACTGTGTACCAGTAAACACTAGGATATTTGCCAATATTGTCAACATTGCCAACTGAACTCCCATAAAACAAGACCTACAGTTTTAATTATTTATATTACTTAATACTGGACCCTTGAAGTAGTAATAAATTTTCTTTTCATTCATGAACTGTTTTTTTTTTTTTTTTTCTTCTTCCAAGTGTAAATGAGAAGCAATTTTGGTTATGAAATTTCTGGTTGGCCCTATATAACAAAAGCACAGTTACTTAGTGGAATAATTAAAACAAATGCTATTTAGTGTTAATTGATTTAGTAATTGAAACAAATTGATGTTCTTAGAAACAAAGAAAATCATGCAATGAATTTGGTAGTCACAAAGTTAAATATTTTGATAGTTAAGCTTATTTAAGTACAAATAGTAAAAGTACTTTATTAACAGAAAACCTTAATTTACTTCTACCAAAATTACTAAATGTCAAAAATATTAAGAACAATAATTAGTGTTCATTTTTGTCAACATTTTATATGAAGAAAAAAACAAAAACAAATGAAAACTGGGACAACACAACAAGATGATAAAAATGACAATTTTTTTCCCCTTCAAAATGAAATGTTAGAAATTTTTAGGATATAATGAGGTTTGGTGTGAGGTGGGGGTACAATGCATGTGAAAATCTATCAGTAAAAGGTTTGATGAGAACGCATCTGAAACATTTGTAATTCAAATAAACTTGCCTGCTGTCATTCCTTCGGTTGTCAGCTGTATTTCTGAAGGAAGAGAGAATATAACAAGCAAGTGAAATCGTTTAAGAGACAAGAAGAATTTGGTCGAAGCAGCAGCAAAAAAAAAAAAAAAAGAATTTGTGTAAAAGATGGAAATATTGATGGAATAGTATTTCTTAAAAGCTAAAGACAAGAAATTTAAATGGAGGAGTGAGGTTGATGGATCTTCAGCTTGTTAAACTATTAAAAGAAAAAGTAAATTAAAATCATAACTAATTTCCTTATATAATCATAACTCATAGTGAAGAAACACAAATAATTAGCAAAATTCACACCAAGTGCAATGCATATTTAAACAATTGTTCAGTACACAAGTACTATATGAATCTTATTAGTGGGTAAGCAATATATTGATTTTTGACAGAAGTGCACATGTAAATAATCTCATTTTTTATGAATATTATAGGCAGACATGTATATCTCTCACACATTGAGTACTGGTGTTAATAAAATAATGCTCAATGTGGAATAACAGCTATAAATTATATATTATTATTATTATACATTATTATATAACAGTCAATTTTCAATCAGCCCCTGAAGATTGCATTGTACCAGAAGCTCAGAGTTACAGCTTTACAAATTAAAATAGACAAAATGAATTTCTCTAGGCTTGGTATGTTTTAATTCAGGTTTTGTCAATGTACAGTGCTTGTTGATAGTGGTGGATCAAATAAAAATATATTTGAATTGTATTTAAATACTTTTCCAGTGCTTTTGTATTTGTGTGAAAAGGCATTTATATTTAGATTTTTACCTATTTTCAAAAGTATTTTTTTTTTGCATTTTTGGAATAAGATTACTAGTATTTATTTATATCACATCCATAATTGCAAAAAGTATTTGCATTTGAATTTCTAAAAAATTAGTATTTGATCAATCATGGCTTGTTGGCCACTGGTTGTGGTAGGGGGCACCGAATCAAGCTCTTGTCCCACCCTGGACCAAGACCTCAGCACTCCATTGGTCACAAGGTAGTTTATTTTTTTATCTTCATGGTATATATATAAGAAATGAAAGAATTCTAGGAATAAAAATGCATTCACAAAAAGTAATAGTGAAAAGTTAACCTATTTTCATAAACTGCTTTACAGTAAGTTGTTACTCAACAATTATTGTACAAAAATCAAGAGTTTTTTTTTGTGGGGCATGTACAGTTGAGACTCAATCTACACTATTGCATGCATTGTGTTTTTTTTTTTTAATAAAAGACAAGACTTAATAATTTAACTAGCTTGAATCTTGTCTGGACACAAAAAAGGGTAGGTCTCTGAAGGCAGTTGTTAATGACCAGTCCTTCAAGGCCCTATCAATCAACACGGGCATTCCCCAGGAACAATCCTCTTTACTCTACATAAATCTAAGAGTAAACTAATCGTTTGTGAATATCTATGCTGATGGCACAATGGTATACAGGTGCATCTCCAAAAATCTAGATGGCAAAAGATGGCAGCTGATCTTTCCTCTGATATAGAGTCTAACATCTCAGTGGGAGGAAAAACTAGCTGATTACATTCACTATCTCCAAAATCAAACTAGTTACATTCCATCATCACTGAACTATCACCAGTCATGATGAATGGACGTTTTCTCAGGAACTTGAGCACCTATTGGGACTTAAAACTCAACCCAGACCTCAAGTGGAACTCATACATATGATCACTCACTAAAGATGCTGGAAAATGGGTCGATTCGCTGTACCCGATTCTAGGCTAGATCAGGCCTAAAATGAGTACTGCTGCCATATATAGACAGGAACTTTTCCTGTTTCAATAGAGTCCAAAAAGAGTCACTGCATCTTTATGGGGGACAAATTATTTTCTACTTTACAACTCTTTTCTCACAGACAAAACATTGCAAGCTTCTCACTGCTTTATCGCTATTTCCAAAGAAAGTGCTCAGAAGAATTACATTCCTTAGTTACATCAGTTCTAACCTTCATGGCTAAGATCCATTAAGCTATGGACATTGTAACAAACTGCCATCATTCTCTTCATATTCCACTGGTAAGATTAAGTCCCACTCAAGTAGCTTCTCCCCACAGACACTGCTTTGGGGAACCAACTCCCATGAGAATGCTTTCTTGATGACTACATTCTTAACCTGATCAAGTCCATGGATAACAGTTACCTTCCCCCACATATACACACACAAATTGTGCCTCTTATTCTAATCTCAATTGGCTGCCAGGTCTTGCACAATGTGAACATCACTGAAGGGAAAAACCAAAAAAAACCTATTAATACTTGACATTTTTAGTAAGACTGCAATAATGAGAGTATCCTTAAAAATTGAACTTACTAACAATAGATTGCTAATCATTGCTCTATGATAAGTATCCAGATAATGATATTTTAGTTGATTGAAGGCAAATATTTGTTTTTAATTCTGTCATGTTTTTATAAGTTTAGGGTAGAAACTTCTTTTGATAAAAGAAAACCAACCATAGAGAAAGACAAACTTGCTGGTTTGTTATTTAGTAAAGATGATTTTTTTTTGCATTAAAAGAAAAACAATTTTCTATTCAAAATAATCACTTAAAACAAGTCATACATTAACCTTTAACTAGGATAAAATAAATTTAAAAAAAAAAAGCAAAAAAAAAAGCTCTTTTCTAAGAAGAAAAAAAAGCTCTAAGAAGAAAAAAAAAACTAACTGTAGATCCATAAACCAAATTTCCATATATTTTCAAAACGTTTTGGTAGCCTCACACATTGAAGAAGAAAAGAAAAGGGGCATTTTGCAAATAAACCTAAGTGTAAAAGGTTAAAAAATAAATGCATTTTTACAAGGCACAATTTTTTTTTGTTATGAAGAGTAGAATTTAATATTCATACATTTCCCCATTTTACGAAATTGAAATGGTCAGTTTCGGCAACATGAATTTTACTAGCACAAAACAGTCCTGCAACCCCCCAAATTAAAAAAATAAAAAATATAACCAAAATAAGAAGACGACCTCTTTAGCATGTCATAATGTACCTCAGCCAAGGAAAACAATTCATATTTTTTATTGTAGTCCTAATTATATAGATGTGTAATTGGGTTCCCAAGGGTGAATATATATATATATATATATATATATATATATATATATATATATATATATATATATGTAGATAATTAGTGGAAAATATACATACATATGAAAAATATATCTAAAAAAATTTCCATACATGTATATTTTCAGAAAAAAATTTTTCCAAGAGGAAGGATCCAGGTAGAACTCAATGTCTAGGACAGAGTAAGGATATAATAAGGCTTAAACACTAATATTCCATGGTCATAATTTATTCCATTGGAATCGTAAATCTGATCCAAATCATCAGACCTACAAATTCAAAATGAAAACAGAAAAAACAACTCCGGAAATCAAAAACGAATTTAAGGAAGAGTAAGTATGAGGAGGAGGGACAGAGAATTCTAGGAGATGTGGGTGGGGTGGGGAAATTTAAAAAGAAGAGAGAAAGAAAGTCGACGGATGTCTAATGCATAAAGATACATTTCGTGGTGACATACATACATCACAGACAATTAGAAGTTAGGATAGGAAGTAGTGAAAAAAAAAGAAAGAGAAGAGGTGGGGGAGAGATGGGACGAAGGAAGAAGGAAAAAAAAAAAAAAAAAAAAAAAAAAAATTGTGTTTATTTAAAGGGCCGCTTTGTAATTGAGAAAATTAGTATAGACTCCAGGTTAGAATCAAATATAAATATATGAAGGTGAATATAAAGATTGTCTTATTTAGCAAGGACCAAATATTTCTATGTTTAAAACACATACTAATACACACAAAAAAAAAAAAAAAAAAAAAAAAAACAATACAAATTAGTTGACTGTTTCAGGTATGTAATATGGCACAGAGACATTTGTATAGGAATGTGTGTGTGTGTGTGTGTGTTATATATATATGTTTTTGTGAGATGTCCAGTGCCATATAATTTCTTCTCTTTGTCCAGGTTTTACTTCTGCCAACTATCCCTGAAATTTGTTGCATTGAAGAATATAGTTAATAATAACACCTTGGGCATATAAGATGCTTTTTATGGAGCTTAAATTGCACAAGTCTGATACATGTCAACCATTTTTATTAGAGCACAAGTCGAGAAAAAGTAGGCATTCAACATTTTAAGAAATACCTATTCAGAGATCTGTATAAAGGGGGCTGCATTGCATAACACCCCCCCACATCTTATAAAGGATCAGACATGTTAAATTTTATCACCCAATGAAACAAGCAACCAAACTTAAGTTATTTTGTACTAGTAAAATTCAATCCAATGAAATGACTGAGGGGGAACACTAAGGGGGAGATGGAAGAAGAAAAGTGAGAAAGAAATAGAGGGAGGGAGGGAGGGAGGGAGGAAATGAACCCAGAAGCATATTGACAAATATACAAGTAACATACCTTGTTTATCTTTTAATTTTATTTCTCTCAACTTTTCCCGCAATCGTTCCTCTTTTAATTTCTCCTTCATTTTGGCAGTCAGGTTTTTTTCATCTACATTCTCCCTCCTTTCTTTGGCCCTTTCTATCTGTTTATCAATCCGTACTTTGCTTTTTTCTCTTTCATGATGCACTTTGCTTCGCATCTTTTCAATTTTCTTGTCTCGGAGAGCATCTTCCCGCCGCTTCTGTTCCTTGATTCTCTCTGTAATGTGATCATTAATGTCATTCCTTTCCTTTTCTAGTTTTTCCTGCACTTTCTCCTTTCTCAACTTTTTCACAATATCGGATGCAGCACGAACCTTCTGTAGCTTTTTTGGTGCCGATACTTCTGTGCTATACTTCTTAGTAGAAGGCAGCTGAAAAGCAAAAGATGGTGAAAACATTAATAAATCACATATTAAGGTTTTTAGTAAATATGCTGAAAGTAATTGAAAAGTATATAGGAAGTAAACCCTATTTTCAACAATTCCATACCCCCATACGTCAAAATCTTAAAACCAGATATAAAAGGGTTAAAAAGAAATATAAGATGCTGTTACTTTAATCAAAGTATATTTATGAAATATTTACATTTAATTAGAAAATGTAGTTTATCAACAAACAAGTGAAAATTTTAAGCTTTTAATTGATTAATTTAAAGAAACATTGAAAAAGGATAAGACCATGTGAAAAAAAAAAAAAAAAAAAAAAATTGCTGGACAAAAATGTTATAACTAGTCAGTGTGCTCATAACTCATTGCTAGCATTAAATTTCAGATTTTAAAATGGCTAAGGATAAAATTTTAAAGTTTGAACAGGGCAGGATTGTTAAACTTCAATAAAAATCCGGATGTGTATGCTTTACTTCTTTAAAAACAAATGCAAGCAACCTCCCCCCATCTCTAGACAGGAACATTATGCAAGAAATTATGAGAGATTCAAGCCTAACATCAAATCAGATAAAAGTGAATACAGATCCTGAATGCAGCTCTTGAGCAATTCAACAGTATTTAAATAAGAAAGGGTTTAAGAACATGAAGCAGCTGCAGAGGCCTTGCCTTCTTTCTCACCATAAAACCTCCAGTTTACAATTTGCTTCCGATTATCAAACTTGGAATGTGAATAAATGGAAGAAAGTGTTGGTTTCAGATGAGAAAAAAAAAATTCAACCTTGATGGCCCAGATGGTTTTCACCATTACTGGCATTCAAAAAAATATCCAAAAGAAATTCTCACCATGACACAGTGGAGGTAGATCAATTATGGTCTGGTGTTCATTTTCGTACAATGGAACTCTTGAGTTACAGGAGTTAAAAGGTCGTCAAACAGATGCTAGTTACATCGATATGTTAAGAAAGGCACTGCTAACTACTGAAGGCCCTTGTCTATGGGGAGAAAACTGGATTTTCCAGCAGGACAATGCTGCAATCCACAACACTTGAAGGAGTTTTTTTTTTTTTATGGAAAACAACATTCAGCTTTTGAGCCATCCACCGTGCTACCCAGATCAAAACCCAATCAGGAATGTTTGGGGATGAATGGCAAAGGATGTTTATAAACATGGGTCACAAATTCGAAACTGGATGTTCTTCATGCTGCAGTTTATGCATCCTGGGCGAGCATCCCAAGCACCCTCATGCAGAAGTTAATAATGAGGATGCCAAAGTGAATTTTTGAAGTAATTCACAAAAATGGAGGATATACTGAATATTAAATTGTCATTGTGACTTATTTGTTCTGTATTTTCTATTTTTTTTTTTTTTGCTATTTTTATTTACATGGTCTTATCTTTATGACACCCCCCCAAAAAAAAAAAAACTTTCAATGTTTGTTTAAATTAATCAAAAGCTTAAAATTTTCCACTTGTTTGTTGATAAACTACATTTTCTAATTAAATGTAAATATTTTGCAAATATATTTTGATTAAAATAACAGTATTTTATATTTTTTTTTTAATCCTTTTGTATCTGGTTTTAAGATTTTGATCAGGAGTGTACATACCAAATTAAAACATGCTCAAACTTTATTTTCTTCCCAATAATAGACAATATTACAAAAATGCTAAAAATATTCCACAATATAGCATACACACTGTTTAATTGATTCATTTTCTACATCTTAACCCTTTGCAGGTTAAAGCCAGAAAAGATTTTTGGGAGGTGTATGTATGTGGGGGGGGGGAAGATAATGATTTAGTGATACAAGTCTTACTAATTAACCCATAGTTGGGGGAAGGTGGATTCATACCTTTCTCAAGAGTATTTACATTTAAGTGACTATAACAAACAAGTGGAATTGGAACTCTGCTCTCCGATTAACACTTCTGATCCATCATTCATTACACCACCCACACATCCAAGCTTACAGCACCTGGTATTTCCAAGCAGTCACCCATCTAGGTACTTGCCAGAATCAATGTTGTTTAATTTCAGTGATCGTACAAGAACTGGACACTGTTTAAATAAAATTGTCTATTGGTTAGAAATTAACACCATCATGTGGAATATTGGACCAATCAGAGAAAACTAAAACTATTTTTCTTAAGTCTAATTTTGGGAAAAAAGCCACAGATTGCAACTGTCAGAGAACAGAAATGCATCTGTCTCCAAGCCAAATTAAAGAGATGTGACTACATAGCTGAAAGCCCCATGCATGCTGGAAAAAAAAAAAAAAGTCAGCATCTTCATTAACAAAGATGGCCAGTGAATCTCCATTAAGTCTTTTCTAAACCCAGCCTTTTCTATGAACCAATCACCCAAAGTTTTTACCTCAATTAAAGACTATCTTTAATAGTCTTTAAGTCTTGAATTCATCATGTGCTTGTAAATACAAATGATTTATTTACCAGGCATGACCAGGTTTTCTTTATTTTATTCTATTATTGTTTGGAATTAGAAGGTTCAGCTGATGCCGAGTACATCTCTCTTGTTCAAACAAGACTGACATACTCAGTGTCAGATGAAATAGACTATACTCATGAGGTAATTTGGATTACTCTTGTGTAATATATGCTCCATTATAATAAATTGAGCTCTTTTTGTGGATCAGTTTTAATATTTTATATTATTAGGATTCACTTGGATTATATACAAACATTTATTACTTGTACTATATATATATATATATATATTATATATATATATATACGAGATGACTGAATTTTCCACAAGTACCTACAAATATACTGCCATTAGTAATTCTAATGCTCAGACTTAAATTTGAATTATATTCTGTAGTAAGAATTGAAGAACTGAAAATTTATTTTAACACTAAATTCAAAATACATTTTTTTTTTTTTTTATAACTTATACAAACTAAGTTTTCAATTATTATACAATTTATATCAGGGCTGACAATGACATCCTAATTATAAAATTGTGAAAACCGTTTCATTATTTCATTTTAAAGCAATGATTCCCAAGATGGGGCATACATAGGATGTGAACCCTTTGGCTTAGTATACCAACGTTAGCTCATTTCATGGTTAAAGTGATCAAAGTATATTACTGTGACACTATTTAGCTATGGTAATTGGCTAACTAATTAACCATAGAAATTAAAAACAGGAAATACTTAAGGCGAGAAAGATCTATATCGAAAGACAGAAAATCCATAAGAAAAAGCGAGACTGTGATTTTGTCAAAATTAATGTCACGATAAGGGAGTGACGTGCCAAACGAAACAGAATGCTGAAAGAAAAAAAGCCAACCAATGCATGCGACCATAATAAAATTTCAGCTTGAGACCACCACGGAGAATAGATATTAATTATCTTTCAGAGATATCATTTAATTTTAATTCCTGGTTCCAGCGAAGAAAGCCATCTGGTATATTCACGAATCTTGGCATGAGAAGGAAAATCATAAAAAGAACCATTATTATTGCTTGTTCAAACTGTTGACTTCAGACAGAGTCTTGAAAATGAGCATCTGGTGATAAGAGAATTTTAAGGCATGAGAAAAATAAAGAATTTGATTCTCAGGTAAACAACCACCCAGTTGACTAGCGGAGAAACCAGGTGTTGGGTTTTGACGGGGATTAATGAGTCGATAGAGGTCTGGACTAAGTGAATTTTGGGTGTCCCCAAAATCAAGACGTGATAAGAATTAATTGGCAATCTGGGATTTGTAAATGTTTTGTCCAAAGGAAAAGGAAAAAAAAAAAAAAAAAAAAAAAAAAGGATTTTGTAAACAAAATTCTGGAATAATTCTAAAAGGGCCAGTCTAGTCACACCCACACTGCCGAGAGATCATTGGCCAAGTGGTAGCATGGGTGATAGGCAGAGGTGAATGTATAAGAAAGACGGAGAAGTTGTTAACACCCACTGAGGGGATTGGTATGAGATACCAATGTGAGAGAGGAAGAGTCTAGGAGGATAACTCTCCTCCAACCTTCCCTCACGGACGAGGGAGGAACCCCCGAAGTGGAAAGTGATTAATCTTCCAAAAATGGGAAGTAATTAATTTTCCTGGTCTAAGAACAAAGAGTATTCTTGTTGGGAATTGAGAATTATCAAGGAACCCAAACCACGTCAGGCCCCCACACCAGGTTTTGGTTGGTATCCATATAAACAGTTTCGAAGCAGCTGAGTGAGTTGCAGTCAGTTCGAGTTTGGAGTCGGTTCGAGAAGTTGGAGAGTTGAGTTGGAGACCAGCCTTGCAGAAGCTGACCGAAAGATTTCCATGTCCTCTTGACTTAGTCTTCCGACCAAAAGCAAGTTTTGTTGAACGATTTAAGATACCATAACTCACTTAAAAAAAAAAAAAAAATGCAAAAAGTGTCGCGAATCCATAGAAATGGGCTGGGAGAGAAACACTCCTGTATTCAACAGGCAGATAAAGACAATTGTTATTTCTCAACATACTTGAACCTCTGGAGTTTGTTTTATTTTATTTTTTTTTTTTTTTTTACTTACGCTTGTGTGGTATGACCTTTACCCCGGATTCAGCTTGCACTACGACCCGATGCCTGATTGATTTCGTCTACCTAAGATCAAAGTCACAATGTGGGTAGGTTAGACTTGAGATCAAAGCAGTTACTTCGGTGACCAGACGTTGGAGGCAAGCTGGGAATGACAAAGCTGATATCGAACCGGGAACGACCAGGACACAGGCTGGTGGCAGCAACAAAGAGTCAACCCCAAAACGCCGGTGGAAGAAAACTTACAGCTTCGTGCCACAACTGGGAGTTGACCACGGGCCGACGGTGCAGTGTCATATATTGACGTCGCGACCAGTGGACATCATATATTGGGCCGCGACATGTTACATTACAGAACAAGCTTTCATTCAAATACTTTATATTTCTGGCTTTCAGCTCTCTATTATATGTTTAGAAACTATATATATTTAACTGTCTGTTTTGTTTTAATTTTTACT